AGTCCTCCCTCAAGGTTGCACTGTCACAGTCCCAGACTAGGTCATGGCTAGTCGAAGAAAGTCCACAACCCCCTGCATGATCAGGCCAAGTGACTTGGTGGAACAGGATGACATGGATGACTGTACAGACAGCACAGTGGAGAACGAATCCTCACATGTGCCTGCCAGTGAGAACTGGACTGACAAAAAGAATCACGTAAGCACTACACAGGAGATAACTGAGCCGGTGAAACCTGAGGCACAAATTCAGCCACAGAAGAAAGTGCAGGGGGGCTATGAATGCAAATACTGTACCTTCTCCACACAGAACCTTAATGAGTTCAAAGATCATGTGGATTCCACCCATCCTAACGTCATCCTCAATCCTCTGTACCTATGTGCCGTCTGCAACTTTAACACAAAAAAGTTTGACACGTTAACTGAACACAACGAGAAATGCCATCCTGGAGAGAGTAATTTCAAGTTCAAGAGGATCAAACTCAACAGTCAGACCATTCTGGAGCAGACCATTGAAGGTTCGAACTGTGCAGTTATTTATGATGCAACCAGTCCTCAGTCTGGAGAGGAGCTGTCCACTTTTCCTCTTAGCAAATCTATGTCAGTGAAGATAGGTAGGCCGAAAATTGATGGCAAGCGGCCATCGTTAGACAGTCAGATGGATAAACTTGCCCCAGAGTTACCCAAAAAACAGATCACTGCAGTGAACGTAAATGGAACGGTGATAATCCCAGATGCGACACTTAAAGATGGACTCTCTCATATAATGCCATGCCTGCAGCGTCCCCCCAACTACAGTTTAGTACCAAAAATAGCTGTCCCTCTGAACACCTCAAAATACAATGCATCTTTGGATGGCAACCTCACCCTCATCACTTCCTTCAATAAGTTCCCTTACCCAACCCAAGCTGAACTCTCATGGCTCACTGCAGCTTCCAAGCACCCAGAAGAACAAATCAAAGTCTGGTTCACCACCCAAAGGTTAAAACAAGGCATCAGCTGGTCTCCCGAGGAGGTTGAAGAGGCACGTAAAAAAATGTTCAACGGAACGATTCAGCCTGTTCAACAAGCATTCACTGTCTTGCCTGCTCAATTAACCCAATCCACAAAAGCCTCGCAATCCCTTATTCAAACCGTTCCTTGCCATGTTCTTGGACAGTCCGGCTTGGTGTTGACACCAGTTGCCAATGGGTCAAGTGCAAATTGTGCTCCCCTTGCATTAACGGTTACAAATCAAACAGCACAGGCTGTTAAGAGACCCCTCACAGCCCCTGTGGTTGCACATGAAGTGAAGAGGCCTTCAATAATCCAAACAGTTCAGACTACTTCTAAGTCTGCCTCTCCTACACCCAGTTTTTCTTCAGATTGCAAAAAAACTCCAGAGCAGATTAGAGAGCTTACAGCCAGCTATTCCCAGTGCCAGTTTCCTGATGACGAAGAAGTGTACCGTCTTATTGAGATGACTGGCCTTTCCTGGGGAGAGATCAAAAAATGGTTCAGTGACCAGCGTCATGGAAAGGGAGGGCAGCCTATAAAGAATGACTTTACATCAAAGGAAAACCTGCCTCAGAAACCTGTTGCCACACAGTTTCCCCTTCTGGAAAGAGTGAAGGGCAAATCCTCTGAGCAACTGAAAATGTTAGAGGAGTGTTTCCAGAGGAGTAGCCTGCCGACACAAGCTGAGATTGAAAACCTTGTGGCTGACACCAGACTGTCGAAAACGGAGATTGATGGGTGGTTCACGGAACGCCGTGCTCTACGGGATAACCTTGAACAGGCCCTGTTCAACTCCATGGGCTCCAAAAGACTGGACAGGGGAGCTCTGAATGGAGTTCATGAGCAGGAGGCTCGAGCCAGGTCCTCTCCCCTTCCCCTTCTATCCACGTCTATGTGCCCTGAAATTGACACCAAGTCCCTTGGCCTTCTTAAAGAGGTTTTCTCACAGACGCAGTGGCCGTCGCCAGAGGAATATAACCAGCTGGAACTGCAAACAGGACTAGCTCGCACAGAGATTGTACGCTGGTTTAAGGACAACCGATCTGCCCTAAAGAACGGAACCTTGGAATGGATGGAGCAGTTTCAAAATCTAAACAACAAAAAGCACAATGGCCAGAACAGCTCATCAATAACAGAGCCAGCCCAGAGTGTGTTACAGCGACATTTCCAGGATGCAAATATACTAAAAGGAGAGGACATGGAGAAACTAGCAGAGCGTTCAAAACTCACCAACCAGGACATAGTGAATTGGTTTACCAGCAAACTGGGTCACAACATGCCAGACATCAGCAAGAGTAAGGACCAACATGGGCCAGCAAGTGTGGACAATGGAAGATGGGTTAAGGTTTCCATGGTCACTGACAATGAAAGGAAAGATTCTGAGGCACAGAGAGTGGCTCCAGACCTTGAAGCGCTGACAGCAGAACACATAGTGACCGGATGAACAAGAAAGGTAGGCAGCTTACCAGCACGCCATTGCAGTAGGGTTGGACCGTATGACAGTAATTATTATTGTGATAATTCATGCATCTCTCAATAGGTCAAAAGGTAACTCATGAAAAAAACTTGTGAATATTGTCACTACTTCTAATACACTGATCAACAGCACGTTACAAAAAAAATATCAAAATGTGGCCCTCCCTCCAGTGCTCGTTGAGAAGCTCCGCCCCCAACAAATTCAAGGACTTTGGTTTTTTTTAGATCTTCGTGGCCCTAAATCCCTTGTTGTACAGACAAATACTAATGACGTTGGAGTGAACATAGCGAGTAATGCTGTGAATGTTTTCTGCTGCACGCTGCCACCTTTTTTTATCGTTTTTTAAATGTGTAGCACCGCTGGTTCTTTTTTGTCCATTGCAGCTTGTCAGAAAAAAAATGATTGACATATCGTGTCTCGTTAACATTTCTTTAAATATTGTGATATATTTTTGCCATATACCGCACCCCAACATTGTCGTGCAGCTTTCCAGGTTCCAAACATACCTTTGAAATCAGATGTATGTAATGAATATGTAGTACGGTTAAAGAATAGATTGCTCTAATTTGTGAAATGATGAGGGCATCCTATGTTAATTTTGCAGCTCTAAGCCACCTGGGATGCTGGCAATTTAATCTCCAGAAAAAAAGCCTCTCTGCCTAGAGACCATTCATGCAGCCAAAGTCTGTTTCAGGATCTCATCTGCTCTGCAAATTCCAGATTTTGTTTTCCATTTAGATTTTATCTTGTACTCTGTCATGTTTTCTTAAGGATAAAATGTGCATTTTTATCTTTTTTTGCAGGACAAAACAGGCTGCTATGACTAACCCTAAAGGGCGAACGGAAATAATCACATTGACATATTTGGAACCAATGATCTTATACCTGGACTCTGACATCATCAGAGAAAAGGAGGACTAAGAGTGTATGTGAAGCACTGGCCAGGGACTGACCATGGAGTGCCAAAGTCAGACTGCTATGTTGCTATTACTACTTGGGTGTTTTGTTTTTTTTGTTTTTTTTTTTTGTTGTATTATTATTATTTTTTCTTTTTTTAGAAAAAGGGCCCTTGTAAATATATTTTCCACAGATTTGTAAAATTTTCTGAGGATGAGAGTTTTGTTACATTTATAATACAGTAGGTGTCCCCAAGCCATTTTGCGTAACCCTTACAATGGAGTATTTAGATCTTTTGTCAAGGGGCGGTAAAGCGATTCACCTGCTGATAAATGTGGTCATAAAGGCACTTAACATTTCAAGTGGACTAAGACAAGCGGTGCTCTTTTGAAATCCATCTCATTCCTGAAGCGAGGTGAAATTATGGACTTTTCTTTGGACCATAGAAACATTGCCTGCAGTCTCATACTGTACTTTACCGCCAAGGGGCCAAAGCCACATGGTGGACATAATCATAAACTGAATTCAGTGCAGCGATGCACAAAACATGTAGTTCATGTTTGCAATATTACTATCAAGGCAGAATCGTGTTGGCTGGCTTTTTCTGGTATTCAAGGCATAGTTCCGTTTCAACGTCTCAGCTATGGCCTGCTTTCCGACAGCTCAGTGTATTCTTTTCCCCTCTTGCCACTGCTCTAGTGTCATGTTCAGACATGTATCAGGAATACTGTATTGCTATCGAGAATCATGCTTGCTCTTTCTTAAAGAAAAAAAGTCTGCTGTAACTCAATAAAACACATCCAGTTGAAAAGGCCATTCATAACCTGTGGCCATTTCTTCAAACGCCATGCTCCTGGAGGTCTGCTTTCCTGTGGAGTTTAGTTCCAGCCTGCATTTAACATGCTGCCTCCCCCATTACCTAACACTATTGATTCTGATCCAGCCAGTCAAGGACTTCTGAAGATGTTCATTAGATGGAACAGAAGTGGCTGATTGTTGCTGAAACTACAGTTGCATAGAAAGGTGGATCTCCAGGACCAGGGTTGGTGACCACTGGAGTAGGACATATTAGAAACCTTTCTTTTATAGAAATCTTTTCTTGTCATGGTCCTGATGAACATATGCTTTTTAGGTTTTAGTTTAATTGCAACTGAGTCTAGTCTTGGCTAGCTTTCTGAAAAGGAGTTCACTTTTAGCCCACTGTTGCTGTAGATCAGTGGTTTATGGTCCTGATCCTGAAAAATAAGACACTTGTCTCTGCATATTTTATGTGAGTGGCTGTTTGTCATCAAGCGCCATGTATTCATGCATGCATGCACAAGGATTAATCCTAGCTTAAGTATCTAAACCTGCCTTAACAGAGAAAGTAGTTAAATGCAGTCATAAAACAAGTTGACTGCGGTTTTGTGAAGCTGGTCAGGAACCCTGTCCAAGTTGAATGTGTGCTGTGAAACAGGCTTTAGGACCAGGACTGGGAACCACTGCTATAGATTAATTTCAGAAGGATATCAGTGGGAAATGTCTATAAACTGAAAGCTCTTAAGAATAAAGCATCTCAGTTACAGATGAACACAGATCATTAGTCCATCCAACCATAGTGTATTCTTGGAAGCAAATAAACAGTTACACAGAACAGCAGTAACATTTTATTTGACTTCCTGTTTGAAAAAGATTTTGGCAACATGTTGCCATATGACTTACACAATCATACCACTTTCATTATAGGCTATTGTTTTCATCATTTCAAGCATTTGTAATAATTTCTCTCCAAGAGAATGAATGATGGCTGATAGACTCTATGCCATAGCAATCACATTCACAGAGCTACAGTGTATAGCCTCAAACATATAGTCACCAGTGCTGGAAGGCCACAACAGTGGACATGTTATTTCTGGTCTAATACCTGATTCTTTTAATGATGGGCTTAATGATGCACTCAGTACAGAGTTTCAGATTAGGAAAAAGTCAGTACTGTGGTACTGTAACCTTCCAGAACTGCATTTGGACATGCCTACCATAGCTTTCATTTAGAAGAATTTCAACGGTTGTTTTTTTTTTTCCCCATAGATTTATTATACAACTGCTAAATGCCCAGGTAGTATTTTAAGGCAATAATGACTTGAGTGTTTATAGTTAGTGGCAGTTTAACTGTAGCTTGTTTGAGCCTTTATGATAAGCTGCCATTTGTGCACTATTTGTTTTATGAATAATCAGCCTGAACCATGCATGGCTCCATCTGCAAGTTGTATTTATGACTCATTTCAGATTACTCACTACTGTAAAACTCCATGTTATGAGTTAGGATTTGGATGTTTAAATCTATGGCATCTAGAAATACTTATTCCAGAGATGCACCAAAGTTTTGTTTAGGAAAGAAACTCATTAGACCCAGATGTTAGGAGAAAGGTTAAAATAACTTAAGTCTTGAACAAAATCAGTTGACTAATAAAATTAGCAATTACAAACGTAAGACATGTAGATCTTCAAAATTCCATTACCGAACAGGAACAAGTTAATATTCTTCACTGGACAATCAACATGACGGTGACAAAACTCTGAAAACAACTAAAGTATTCAATGAAAGCACATAAAATGAAGCCTGCATACACTGCCAGAGTGTGTACCCTCCGCTTGTATTCTGGGAAAAAGAAATAACAGTCCTCTGGACAGTACCTGGGCACCTATTTCTGCAAGGCTGCCCACTGCACACAAGAAAACTCAATTATAGTGTGACATACGATATTGCATCAAGAGAAAAAAGGTCAATAAACACGCTGATGCGAATCCATGGAGGAGTTCCGTTTTAAATCTGTTTTGCATTTGGAGGGAGAGATACAAAAACTAAACCAAAAACCTGAAACGTATAAAACTTGTGTTCTGCAGCATCAATGTCTCAATATGTATCTAAGTAAGCATCAGTATCCTCTGAGGCTTTGCAGGAGAATGTCCTCAGTCGTCCCCGAGCCGAAAGCCTTGACCCCAGTTGTGACGACCACCACCGCCGCCGCCACCGCCACCCCCTCCTCCTGCCTGATCCTGTGGCGCAGGTCTCCTGCTGGGTGGGACACCGAATCCAGACACCCCACCTCGTCGATTTGGGAACCACTGGTAGCTGTAGACATAAGACCCTAAAATAAGTGTACTGCAACTGTAGTGTTCTTCGTTCAGAGAGAAGGCATCAATCAATGAACTCAATAGTAAAAGTAGTGAACTTGAGCAAGTTTTACATTACCAGAGTTTACAAACTGTGATGGTTGACCATTCAGTACAGTTTATTCTACCATCTGATGCCACAGTAGCCAAAGCTGGCAAACTGCAAGCAATTTTCTAGCAAATGTGATGTTCAAAAGGGGGGAATTTTAAATGTAAGCATGAAAGTACATCCCATTGAAATAGTAAACATAAATGGAGGCACTGGATCTCTCTAATCAATTGTCAAATTTATCTGGAATACTTCTGAAAGCAGAGTCTCAGGCCGAGTTGAGAGTTTGTTGTAGCGTCAAGACAAAGCACAGTGACCACAGAACATTCTATTGTCGACCAGCAGCAGATGTGGCGCTGCTAGAACTCCACACAAGTGTGCTGTAATGACTGTCATTCTTTGTATTTCTGAGTATAAACAGAATGGTGCCACAACAAATGGTAATGAGTCAACATAGTGAACTGTCAACCAACAGTTAAAGGAATACTCCAGTATCTTAGCTTGATCTCGCTATGCCATATTGGGGTTGTATATTACTACAGGGAAACGTATCAAAGTTGTCCGTGGTAACTGACAGACTTGCATTGCAAAATGCTGGAGTATTCCCCATTTGTGAGTGAGGGCCATGTAATTACTCTGTCTACTCCAAAAAGTAGGGGAGAGTGGGGCACCAACTAACGTGGGGTAGAATGTTAACAAGGATATTTTATGTAGGTAAAGCTGTCTTGGTGGATGTAATACAGCACCATTTTGAAGTGTGTAAACAACTCACAGTGAAAGCAAACCATACTAAAGGTACAGCCTCCACATGACGGGGTTAGTTTTAAACCAGTGTTACCTTTAGTGTGCAAAATACCCTCCTGGTATTCAGGGGGTCCCATATTGGCTTGTTAATCCAGCATTGACCGGCTGCTTGCTCACCATAGCAGCACTGATTCTAGCTTCATTGGCGACAGAATGTTTGGTTTAAGAGTTCTGGAAATGCTCTCTTCTAGTTTGATAAATGTGGTCTTCCTCACGTTAACTGAAACCTTAATCTCCTCTGTGGTCTTCAGTTTGCAAAATAAGCCACAATTTACTCTTTCCACAATGACACCATAACATCATAATGACCCCCCCCCCTTTGTGGTCAAAAATAAGTTACCACATTTCAACTATGTGTTTAGTTGTAATGTTTGCACTAACTTCTCTCTCAGCTGAACAATAGGTTCTGTAAACCCAAAATGTATTAGGCTGTGCCACACTCCCCCCTAGAATGTTGTAAAAAAATGAAATGTGTAATCTGTATGTGAGCTTACAGGAACTGTGGAGTGGAGAGGAAGGATCTGCCGCCCAGGTCCATTGGGTATTTGAACATGAGGAAGAAGTAAAGGTGACCCACTAAATTTCCAATCAGCTCATTCACAATGCTGAGTGAGGAAAAAGAAATGAAAAAATATGATAAAGATTAGTAATTGTCTATTAATTTGTTCAAAATGAAAATGTAACTTAGGATTTTTAAAGGCCTGGATACACAAAGGCAATTTTGCTGTTTGCTTAGAGAAAGATTTCAGTAATCAAATATACCACCACAAATACCTTTTTAACCCAATTTAATTATTAAAAGTCCCTACAAGCTGAGAGGGTGAAGCCTAGCACATGCTTCCTCCAAAACACATGAAGCACCACTGCATCTCTTCAAACTTCCACTAATGCATTGTCACTGGTCAGCTCAACTGGCTTGGTGAACGCTGACTACTAATTCTGTTACGTCAGCTAACAAACAGCAATGTTGGCTAGCATCGCGCTGAGTAATGGGGGGGAGAGGGAGGGCCATCTTCTCTCCTCCCCAGAGAGAGAGAGCAAGGCCAGTTATGACCTCTTGGACTCCCAGCTTCGTACGGCTATGCCTTCGCTGGGCATCAAACTCCAGGTGATGGGGCCAACACTCCAGAATTACCACTTATCATTCTCTGCTAAACGTCAGTATGCTAAAGAGGTGGCAGAGATATAGCGCATTTCTTTATTAACCTCAAAATATAATTTTCTCTGTTATTGATAGGATTAGAAATACTATGGAAGCCGGAGTTGAGGACATATTTAAACACTTAAAGATACAATACATGGCCAAAAGAGGGACAAATGGACAGTTTTTTGAAATGCTAGCTCTACCCCGGATAACTACAAGTGCTATTATTGTGGTCTAGGAGCAACAACTCTGCCACATTGGTTGCAGCCAAATCATGGTTTGACAATTCTCTTAGGATGAACTGCAGTAGCCTGCACAGAGTCCTGACCTCGACCCCACTGAACACCTTGGGGATGAACTGGAACGCCGATTGCAAGCCAGGCCTTCTCGTCCAACATCATTGCCTGACCTAACAAACGCTCTTTTGACTGAATGGGCACCGATTCCCACAGACACACTCCAACTTCTTGTGGAAAGCCTTCCCAGAAGAGTGGAGGCTGTTAAAGCCGCAAAGTGGGGTCCAACTCCATATTCATGCCCATGGTTTTTGGAATGGGATGTTCATCAAAATTATTTAGGTGGTCAGGTGTCCAAATAATTTTGGCCATACAGTGTATGTTCAAAACATGCTAATACATGCAATCCCCTTGTTTCAGTGCTATGCAGTTCTAAAACACATGTAATCATGTCTAATAAAACAACGTGACTTCAAAGCAAATAGACAGGCTGAACTGTGATAGTAATCACAGCTTGTCTAGTGGGAAATAATAGTTTTCCGAAGAGCGCGTGGAGGTGGCGACTGTATCCAGGCCTTCAGTTTACAAAGTACTCTGACATTTGACTCTCAAATTGAAAAGGTTCTTACGAGCCGCCGATGATGTAGTTGAATCCCAGAATGACCCAAGGGAGATAGCAGGCCTGGAAATGTGTAGATATGAGTGTTAAAAGCTTTTACTGCTGGTGTGAAAAGCGAGAGAGTGGATCAGCCAAGGTGAATTCCTACCTTGAATCTTGTACCGAACCAGAAGGATACAATCATGTCTCGATTCAGCTGGGCCCAGACATACAGGACGGACATGATCAGAGGGATCATGAGGAGCTAAGAACAATAACAACAACAACAAAAAAAGACAAATCAGAAAAAATTGTCATAAATAAATAACACTCCTAGATTCTGACTTGAAAATGGACAGAATGTGTGTTTTACCACTAATTCTAGGCATGCTGGAATCAAAATGGACTTTTTTTACCTCATAATACCCACTATCCATCTGATCATTTAAAAGACTAATAAAGATTCCCATAATCTTTTATGAAAATTACAAAACCCCAAGAACCCGAAGGGGAAAATACTATTAACGAAAATCATGTTTCACCTCCCTCTCCTACCACCCCCACCCATCATCAAACGAAAACCCTCAGTTAACTCAGAGACTATCCCTGCTATGCTGTTTCACTCAGAAACATGTCACAGTAAATGTGTTACAGTATCCAATTTACTTTGACTTTAACATCCAATAACCGCAAATCCAATTGTGGTGATGAGATCATCGCCCAATAAAGGCACAGCAAGTTTACACTCGCCTTTTTCAATGTAGCTTCTGCATTCAGATACCAATCTAGGCCCAGTTTCCCAAAAGCATCTTAGCGTTAGGATCATCTTCACTGGTAAAGAGAGTGTTCAGTGTGATGCTCGCTCTACCATTTAAGAATCATCTTTGTGCTGAGATGCTTTAGGAACCCAGCCAAGATCTTATTTTCCTGTGTAGAATTAAAATGTTTAAAATCATTAGCGCCAAACTAGGCATCCCAGGCAAATTCACATTTACAAAAGTATGAATATGCCTGGGTCAAATTACATTTGAATTATTTATTTTTTTTTTTTAAACAAGTTCGCACATCCTCAACAGAAAATGCACTTAACTACGACATTATCCTGCAAATTCGAGTGCACAGTTTCTGTTTATTTGCTGAGTTCCTCACAATCAAGACACATTCTGGTCACAAACAGAATTACACTTGCCTTTTGAATGTGTACATGGACAACACTCAGATCTGAGACACATTTTAATGCCTAGTGCACACATATACTATATAAACTCTTGTATGCAGTCCTGTGCAAAAACAAGATTTCCAGTCAGAACAGCCATTATGTACATTTATTAAACTCACCTCAGCTGCCTTCAAACTTGCTTTCTAAAGATTTACTTTTAAAGATTAGATACAAAGTAATCCATTTGGAAAGGAAAGAAAAACTGGAGTTTAAAAGATTATTGAAAGATATAGAGTAAATGTGACTCCTAACAACCCTGCCTGGTAGACCACCAAAACGGTCACCATCAGATGAACAGCAGTTAAAGCTTTCATCTTCAAGAGACAGGAGAAAAATCAAGCTCCACTTTTGCTTCAGATCTGAAAAAATCCAGACGTATTTCTGTCCATTCTCTTCTGTGAGAAGACAGCTCGGCACTGCGGGTCTGAAAGAATGTGTAGCTGCTACTGGTAAAACAAAAAATAGCACTTAACAACTGAGGTGCGGTTAAGTTTTATGGACTGATGAGTCTAAATTTGAGCTCTGTGGAAGTCACAAAATAAACAAACAAAACTATTTAATACATTTTGCACTACCCTCTGGAAAACATTTCACTGGGACAAAAAATTCCCAGCAAGGTAACCCCAACAGAACAATGGACTGGCCAGACCTCAGCATCACTGAAAGTGTTTGGGATTAGTTGGATTGTTAGAAGCAGAAAATATAACCAACTTCTAAGACTGAACTTTGTAAGTGTGGGAAAACATTCCTGTAGATTTCTTTGAAAAACTGAAAGCAAGTCTGGTGAAAAGAATAGAATCTGTAAAAAATGCATTTTATATTTGGTTGTTGAGGCTTTTGTGTAATTTTGCGGTAAATATATATTTCAGATTTGCACTTAATGGCCATTTTGACTGGAAATTAAATAAGAGTGGTCTCTGACTTTTTCCACAGCATTGTAGATTGCTATATTAACAAATGAGGCACTGAAACTTGTAAACCAGCGCAACAAGAAGTGGCCTCAGTCCCTCGGGAGGAAACAAAAAAAGTTTCAGATTCCAAACAAACATTAAATAAGGTTCTAATGTACCCATAAAATCACTATACAGACTAGAATTACTGTTTTCATAGTTCATAGAGATTCATATAAAAGGTTTCTGACAGATTTAAAGGGTGTTAATTTGATTCACAGCAGCTGCCATGATGTATGTTTCACTGTTACTCATTTTTACATTTTACTTACATCACTAAAAACACTACTTGCATTCAAATAATCTGATATATTATCTCAGTTTCTAGTCCGAAAGCAGCAAACTTACCTGCATATCCATCATTAAGCCTGTTATCTGAATTATGTTGTTAAGAACCAAGTTGGAACCAAGCAAGGACAAAATAATGCATTAAAGAATTGGACTGATTTACCATGTAAACTGCTTTTTTTTTATATAATGTGGTTATAGTGGATGAGCCCTTCAAGCTCTGAAAGTTGCTGTTATGCAAATTGCGCAGTGCAAATGAAGATTTTTACAGCCCTGAATACCCACTTGACTGCACTCAACATTTTTAAAGCATTATATTAATGTCCGTGTTACGAGTTGAAAGGATACAACAATGCAAATCCAGTTGAACAGGAGCATGAAAATGTAGTCTGCTGGTCTTCCATCAAAGGCCCCTGAGGGAGAGGGTTTAAAAAGAACAAATGAAACAATTCATGAGTGTGACTGAAAGCTTAGCATGTTTGCATATTTCCATCAAAGATATTAGGTCACTGTTGCTAACACAAAGTGAATATTAATATCTTCAGTCAAGTAATACTAAGGAACAACAGGGAGATCCTGATCTGATCAGATATCTGAGCCAAACCACATTTTAAACCAAGTTTTTGAGCCTAATCCAATTCTGATTGGTTGTTAAGGCTATTTTACCCCATTGTACTCTATTGATGCCACATTTATGATTGTAGAATTGACATTTTCCACAACTTGCAGCAGTGAGACACATCTATACACATTTACAAGAACACACAGAGTCAATGATGCGAAGCACTGCTCTTATAAAGCATCAAAATCTACTGAGTACCCGTTTGTGTGGAATATTCTGCCTGCTATATGTGAGTGAGTCAGTTTATCTATCAAAGTTGTGTAAAAAAAACCTTCTTGAAACGTGGAAACTTTTGAGAAGTGTGAGTGCAAATGATGAATCAGTTTCAGTACATGAAATCAAGTACCAGAGTACCTGGACCTCATTTATATATCATTTACATGAAGCACGTCTTAATTCATGCTGTCGTTTTGGTAGACAGCCAAAAAAACAGCAGCATTCACTTGTGAGCCAATGGCTGTGCTTGTAAATGCTGTTTGAGACTGAGCAGTAAGTGCACTGTTATTAAGGACTGCTCTTGGCCAGTCTAGCATCTGTGCTCTCATTAGGCATCCAGGCTCATGTAACATGTGCAGAATGTGGCTTGGTGTTGTCATGGTAAAATAAGCATGGACATCCCTGACAAAGAAAACGCTTAAAAGGCAGCACATGTTCCAAAATGTGTTGAGCGTTAATGATGCTTTCACAGATGCACAAGTTACCTGCTAATACCACCCCAGGGAACACAATATCCATTATTTCCAAAAACAATCTGAAAGGTTGACACGTTTCCACTGTGTATTAGTCCATTTCAGATGAGCCCGAGCCCAGAGAAGTTGGCAGCGTTTCTGGATACTGTTGACATACGGCTTCCACTCTGCATAATACAAGCTCAACTTTTGGGGATGCAGCGATGGACTGTGTTTATTGACAACAGTATTCATGCGGTGATATCCATAACAGAAGCATTTTTAATGCAGAGCCAGTTGATGGTTCAAAGGGCATTCATTTGTGGTTTTCAGCCTTTTCCTGTACAAATTTCTCCAGATTGCCTGACTTTTTTGATATTATTATGCACTATAAGGTGAAATACCTAAATTGCTTGCAATCGCGAGCTGAGGAATGTTACATTACAGATCTTGTCTTTGTACTGTTTTTGTTCAAATACAAATCAAAGTAGATTCATAAATCACACCTTTCTGATTTTTTTTGGCGTTTTACCTGCTGTCCCAACTTTTTTGGAATTGGGTTTGTAAAATACCTTTTTCCATGTTAAACGCTTAGCAGCAAAAGCTAAGAGAGAGGTAGTAGTACATTTAGCTCATCTTAGGCTAAGAACATAGCATATTCAAGACACCGTAAAATGATCATTTCAATTACCCATCAGTTCAGAGTGCCACACTATGCGTATACTAAAAATAAAGTGACTTTCCTGTAGCACATCTAAAAAGCAATTGGCAACCTTGCACATCTTAAAGCCTGCACTGTGTAAGGATTTGGAGACCTCTCTGGTGGAGATATGCAGGAAAAACATTTTGTAACGTGGACTGTGCTTTGGACTCCCTCCCCAAGTAGATGAATCTGATGATTGTGAGTGTGTTGAAAGAGCAATAGACGAGAACTCGTTGTGCCTAAGGACACCCCTTACCGGTGATAAAATTACAGGCCTTTTGTGTTTTATTGCATTAATTACAATATTCTTATTTCGACTTTATCTTATTTGAAATTACAGTAACATCTGGAGGACTCGCCGAGATGCTAATGGCGAACTACAAAATGATGACACGTTCTAGTCTAGAGACACTAAGCCTTACCTGTTTCGAGCCTGCTGGAGTACTGGTAGAGGAAATACAGATTGACCAGATAAAGAAACCCTGTTCCTGGACCCACCGGGAAATACAGTGTTGAAGTGAAAGGTCTCCATATCTGCAGAAAGAAAATGAAGAATGATCCATGAAATCGCTGTGTAATCCAGCATAATATGTACACATGCAGCAGTTCTGAAGCAAACAGCAGAATGCCAGTGTATCGTAGCACGTGAGGTTTTGTCTGGCTGTGTACGCTGCCTGCTGAGTAAATGAGAGGCATTGAACACAAGCTGTTTTCCACCTGTCAAAGCTCCAGGCACAGAGCAGTTTTGACAGGCACAATATGCCCACAGATGCTGCCACTGCCTGAGACACAAGGTGTGATAAAGCAGTGCGCCTGTTAAATGATGTCACCCTGTCTCTGCTGCGAGCACAGTGGCCGAGTTTGAGTCCCCCTCATCGTTGCCAGGCACCAATGGTAATGTATACAGCAGTTAGCTGCAATGCCGCTGGAGCGATATGTGAAGCACCCGAGCCGGCAAAATTATCTGCTCCGTCATCCATATTAGCCTGGCAACTTCCTGGCATGGAAAACTGGGTCAGTAAACAACAGGCATTTTTCTCCTCCCTTCACAGCCCCTCCTCCTCTGTAACTCTCAGTTTGAAGTCGACGTGAGCTTTAAAAAATTCTAAAATTCATGTTAAATAACTAGAGATGGAAAGTTACTGGGAATTCTGGGCAAGCGGTGCTGATAGCAATGCTGACATATAAAATGTTGCAACTGGATTAGGATTACAGAGGAAAGTAACACTTGCATAAGGTTACAAGTGCAGTAAAATGAATTAAATGCAGACATTTTAGCACAGCAGCCCAGCGTAACTTAAATGCTCTGCTCTTCCAGAGTGCAATATGTGTGTCCTTAAATATCAATTTGAAATATTGGTCAAACCTAATCATCTGTCTGAGGCTGGTATTCTGCTGTATTCTGCTCAGTTTAAGCTGAACGTGGCCCTTCCATACTGTTTATTTCAGATTTAACACAATTTGTCAGGCTACAAATTGTCCACTGGTGTGAACATTTCTAATGACAATATCTGAATATCCAGGCAAGACAAAAATGATTACTCATTACAGATGTGTTCTTTTTTCTTGTATCTTTATACATAATCAAAAGACAACACCAAACCAATACTGCTAAAGAGGTTCAAATATTACGTTCATTTGCCGTCACATCATATCATAAAAACATAAGCATATCAATATCGTTTTGTTTCATTCTGTCAAGAACAATGAATAGAGCAGTTAAAGGCTTTTGACCAATAGTAAATATGAGCATCTACAATGACCATAAGCATTAAAACTGCACAATATACTGATATCCCAAAATGCAGCATTATGCAAACAAGCCCTCTAACCAATCATCATTACTGTGTGCTGTCCAATCACAGTCCTAGATGAGTGCTTCTGATGGACTTTGTTGTATACTCCAATTCTAAAAGTTAAAAACAAGCAAAAACAGAAAGAAATTTTCTAAAAACACTTCAGTGCATTTGCCATCCTAAAAGACATTTTATTTGCCAACCTTATTTACAGCCATTTATCAGAGCCTATGTCACCTGGTGTGAGGATCTCATGTCACACTATAGGACATGGCTATCACACCAGTGGACATTGCCAGATAAATGGTGGATTTCAGGCAGAGTTACATCCCAGACTGCCTTGAATCTGATGTTACAGCGTAACATTCATTATTTTTTTAAAGCTAATAAAGAGGTAAAAAGTTTCATATCACCATTTTTATTGCATCCCACCAACAGACTATAGAACCTGTCCCATTGCTAACAGTGCTGGAAAACAGCAATATTTTAATAAATATCTGAGCTACAATCCTCTGTTCAGACAAGATTCTATATTTGCTGGATTAAAACAGATGCTTTTCAGTTGCCTGATATCATTTTATATTCGCAGAATGGCTTTGCAATAGGTGGACACCAGTTTTAAGAACAAATTTTACGTAAACATTTTCATTATACATATTTTCATAAACTTACAGTAGTTTGAAGGAATATTACTCTGGATAGTCACACCGGTGAATTTTATTTTTCCTAGGAATATAAAATGACTATTTTTAAATTTCAAGTTGGTTGATTTTTTTTTAAAGTAAGCATTTAATAACAGTCAATACTTTAAATATGACAAAAATCTACTGTTTTTCATTGCAAACACAAAAATGAAGCATCAGGTCAACTACCTATGACACCATGATTGTTCAAACTGCATACAGCTGCAGGGTTTGTTATCATGGTTATCACTATATTATATATACACTATATTGTTTTTTTGCAGTGCTGATATATGCAAATAAGCCCTCTAACCAATCACAGTGTTACGTAATGCGTGTTGAGAGCACCTTTTCCAAGCACAGATCCATATGTGCGTTTCTGTGAGAGCCTGGATGACTCCAGGGATTCCTATAATTAAATGTAATAATTTCAGGGAAAAAAAAAAAGCAGGATGGTTGTTAACTATGTTATATCAAAGGTTCACAAATGTGGTTTAATATACTGGAAGGTAGGGATGTTGGTAGGGGCATTTTTAATTCTTTTGTAATGTGGGTTGTGTTTCGGATCCCTTCCCCAAGCGGATGTACGTGGCGATAGCAAGCATGCTGATAGAGTACTCAGTCAAAATTTGGTGAAGGACAATTATCATCATATCTTCATCAGTATAATGTTGAATTTGCATTAGAGACCCAAACGTCGAGCCAGATCTTCTTTTTGAGCCTTTGCATATGACATTAATACGTAAAGATGTATGAAAGAAAAACTCTGACCTGGCACCTCTGACTTTTGAATTATTACTTCAGGCTTTAAAGGTGACTGATAGCAGTGCACGCACACCATATTTTTGCATGGTTTTTCCCCTCCAGACTCAGCTACCTCCTTCAATTGTAGAAAAAAAAATCTTACATAGTGTAGTTTTAATATACATATTTTTAGGTTTGACATGAATTTTCACATAGAACTCTGTCAATGCCTGTTACACCAGCCCTCTAACCCCAAGAAAAATGACTTAGATTGTTAGAACCTATGTGACTTCAGGAAACAAAGCCCAGTAATTTGAGCGCATCAGAATGGCCTCCCTCCCCCTTCACTACAGGATGCACTCATAAGTCTAGTTTCGATCACTGACACGAATGACGACGATTTAATTTTCGTACACTGTTTTAAACACTCAACTGTATTCAATATTGTATCAAATTATTGCAACTGCAGGTATACATACATACACACACACACTATATTATATATATATATATATATATATATATATATATACACACACACACACACACACACACACACACACACATATATATACATATATATAAAAATTGGCAACATGGAACTTCTTCCATATCGTGCAGACCAAGCGCTTATCCTTAAAGCTCCAACAGCAGCATCTGACTGAGCTGCCTGAGCTACGCCATGGCCAGTCTGTTCAGGGTCCTCCTCTCTCAATGCCGCATAAATCAGGCCCTACTCGCCCACGCAGTGAGGTGACCTCTATGGACTGCAGCACAGAGAGAAGTGGGTTAAAAAGCACAGCAGGGTTGCCTGGGAGGGGGACGGGGAGAGGGAGAGGCAGGGTCAATCCGGTGGACTCTCACCAAGAGCAAAATGGTACACTCACAACGGCCAAATGTGCAGTGGCTTCAACAGCAGTGCCAAAATATTGCAAAATGCATTCAGTGTCAGATGAAGAAATCTTGATTTAACCAACAATTACTATACAGCTGTTACAGCTTAGGTCCCCACAGTATTAACTAAGTATTCAGACTTTAGATATTTACAATTATTATGTTGTGAACTATTAAAACGCAAGCAATTAATGGAGACAGTAATGAGCTAAACATTTACAAAATCATTATTTATGGGGTCCTTTCTACTGTGAGGTGGCTCTTATTTATTTATTTTTTAGGTTTAAGATCTTGTTGATTTCAGTTAAAGCTGAAAGATTTAGATCAGGACTTTAATTTTTAAATAAAAATCTGTTTTCAGCAAAGCTGTCTACTCTGCTACAATTGTTTTATTAGTGACAAAATGGAATGTTCAACCATTTATTTTAATAAAAGAAACATAATTAAGGTATAGGCTCGTTCAATGCAAGCGTTTTAGTCTGACGTCCAAGTCAGTTAAAAGCCCAAAATGTGTTTTAATTCTGACTTTGAACTTTCTCAGTAAAATGATCCATACATGGGTGGGCAACAGGGCAAAAATCTAATTTCACCAAACGAAAAGACATTTTCACAATATAAGAAACAAAATCACAATATTTTGAAACACAGACACAACACACATTTTTGAAAAACATATTGCCAGCTTCTAGTGCAATATATTGTTTGTTAACTGTAACAGGTCTGCACAATATATTGTTTGTTAACAGGTTTCGCAATACTGGATTTTAAAATTCTGATATCGCAAAATGCAACAATATGCTAATGAGCTTGTTAGTAAATCACAAAAACATCACATGCTGCTAGCTTTCTGAACAACCTTAATGTTCTACACGAGTTTCTGTTTTCAGCGTTTTCACGGCACTTACATGATCCAACAAAGCTAAATAATTATGGTCAGAACCGTGGCTAGACTTATGAAACTTCTGTGGCCGATATGATTTTAAGCGGGAAAAATTATTATATCAGCTAATACAGTTTTATATTTTAGATTTCAAATTCATACTACAGTAGGTCTCAATTGCTGCGCTTCTCAATTTCAAATAAATAACAAGCTCACATATAGTGTAGCACTGGGGGTGGAGCAACCCAGAATTCTTTGCAGTTTTGGTTTCTGTTTATTACTATTTGTTTTCCTCATAGAAATGGTTGTGTTATAACATGATATTCTCATACTAAATGGTGGGTTTAGATACATTTTGCATGTTTTTTATGTTAATTAATGGTGGTGTTTTGTATTCAGCTTCTCCAGATCAGCATGTATTGCTGTTTAGTTAAATAGTGAGAGTCTAACATTTTGCCCAGTTGTCAGGAGATCATGGGTTTGAATCCTCCTGATACCACCGAAAAAGTAACTAATTATCATCAAATTATTGGTGGTATTTTCACTGATACCGATAAAACCACGGGCTGTCAATATTGGACGCTATTATCAGCGAACAGATATGTCAGCTGGACCCGACACAAACTAACGCCGGTTAAGCTTTATCTTTGTTACAAGGTGGCTGTAATATATTGCAATGCCATGTAGCCATTTCACTTTAATATGGCCTTTTTTCCATATCACTTCTATATTCTGTTTATTTTCAAACCGAAGAATGAAACACACAGACTTATACTTGTTCTGATGGTAGTTATTACTAGGCCAAGTCTGGGAACAGCATTGGCATTAGTGTGCCAGCATGCTGTGTCGGAGGAACAGAAGGGGGGGGCTTTTGAACAATAGCAAGAGACAGCTGCCAAAGTCCACCCACTCCCTGTGGATGTGGGGTTTATTTGACTTTGCCTCCTTCTTTAGAGCTTTACCAGAAACCGAAAGACAAGAGTGGGGCAGTACAGAATGGCTCTCCAGTCTGTTGAGCTGCAGATGCAAATTATCTTGACCAGGGACTTTTAGATGCAGAAAAAAAAACATCCATCCAGCTTCTTTATGACGAAACTAGAGAAACGCATCAGTAGAAGCAAACGGAAAAACAAAACTATGACCAAAAAAAAAAAAAATCATCCAACTAAATCTTACCCTTAAACTCTACCACAATGGTGATACTTAAAGGACAATTCCAGTTTACCTCAGGACATCTGTGGCATCTGAGTGATTCACATGGGATAAGAAATCTTGGTCTAAATGACAGAGATAGCAGTGGCTACTCGATTTACGTGCCGCCTTCACTCCAAAATAGTAGAAAAGATGTTAAAACATTTAATTTTGCCATTATTTCGTTAACCCTAACCATTTATCTTGCTGTCTCTAAGAGAATGCAGTGTGTCATTAGCTTGCAAATCCACAGCCAACAGTCATCTTCACCACATAAAGTCAATGTTTTCTGTAATTTTTACATTCTGAGCTTTACACATAAGACAGGACAGTAACGTAACATATCGGCTTGATTTAGCCTCAGAGAAAGGCCGAAGTGAGCTTCCTATTCGCCAGCGCCTTGTTCGAATTTTTCCGTTCCACCTTAAATGGTGCAGCAGTTACATTCTGGCAACTGAGGTTATAATAACTGCAGAACCATTTACGGTGGAACGGGAAATTTTGAAGAAGTCGTCGGCTTCTTATTCGCCAGCTTCAGCTTCGTCAGAGAACACAAGTTTGCGCTTCTTCCAGTGTCTCCATAATTAAGGAATTCCCTTTCCACAGGATGAGATAGCGATTTGATAGCGACGAGACCTTTCTTTTTAAAAGAATTTTGAAATTTCGATGGAATTCCCCTTTAACCAACGCAGCCGCAAGCGAACGCCAAGAGCACTTTTATCGTGACATTACAACATTCATTTTATATAAACACCGATACATTGGTGTAGTCATATCGCCCAGCCCTAGTGACAACCGTGCCAGCAAACCACCAAGATGGAGGTTTATGGTCACACTAAAAACGACGAGCCAAAAACCTGTTTTGGTGGAAAAAGCATCTGAAAACCATCCGCATATTCACACAAACTGAACCGACCTCTACAGGTTTGAAGCACGTTACTGTGTTAGCGCATTATAAACATCACAACACGCGTCTTCGGCGCCCTCTGGTGGAAGAGCCAGAAACAACAGCTCTTCCAAACGTCACTGTGAACGTTAGCACTTAATAGCACAGTTATGCTGAATATCAACGTTCACTTCATGTTTTATCTTTTACTATTTAGAAAAAGCCGAATCTTCTATTTTATTGTCGCTCAAATGTAAACGGTCACACTAACTACGTCTTTCTCCTTGTTCGAGCCCATTTTCACTATGTACAAAACAAGAGCGCCGCGATGATACAAAAGAAAAGATCGGGTCGATTTGCGCAGTGCTGAACGAGCAAACCTCCCTCAGGACGAGACGAAGCTGAGGTCCGAAGTTTCCCATTCCACCTTAAATGATGCAGCAGGTACATTCTGGCACCTCTGTTTAAGGTGGAACGGGAAAATTCGAACAAGAAGCTGATAAATAGAAAACAACTTAAGCCTCGTCAGGACGAGTCTGTTCTGTCTACACTTCAGCGCTGTTCGTAGTAAAAATAAAATAAAATAAATAATAACTAAAAAAGTCTCTCCACATGCTGACTGTCAAACCGAGAGCCCCGGAAGTTATTAGCTCAGACCACTAGCTCACGTTACGTTCACTGTCAGTACAAGGTTCCCATCAGGAGATGAGGCCTAGGCCTCCTGAACACTCTCCTGTAACATCTCCCACTGCTTCAGTCTTACTCTTTCTCACCTGGAATCTGTGGAAGAAAGCTTCTGGCCACAGCACGAGGTTCACCGGGCTGATTAATCCCAGTTTCCCGATAAGAGGCACCGCAATGGAGCCCGCGAACCAGTAGCGGGTGACGAAAGGGATGCTTTTAAACCAGTCCCCGATATCTGACATCTTTCCATACGCTGAAAAGCCCGAGAGCTCCTCTTCTCTTCTCTAATGTGTAGGTAAAAGAGTCCGCGTGTGGCCGCGGGACCTGCGCTCACGGCGGCGGTGGAGAGAAAATCCCGGTTCGGTTGCTTCTATTTTGGTTCAGACCCGGACGGACGCACTTTTTCTCCGTTTACATGACGTGGCCGCGCAGGAGTCGATAGGCTGCGGCTCCGATTTGTCCGTTTCTTCTGCGGCTGATTGTCAAAATAAAAGCCCCAAAGTCTGGCACAGATCGACTGATTTAATCATTTTAATTGTGCGTTTGAACACTGATCAGCCATAACATTAAATCCGCTTCCTTGTTTTTATACCCATTGTCCATTTTATCAGGTCCACTTACCACATAGGTGCACTTTACACTTCTACAATTACATACTGTAGTCCATCTGTTTCTCTGCATACATTGTCAACCCTTTTCATCCTGTTCTTCAATGGTCAGGACCCCACAGGACCACCACAGAGCAGGTTTTATTTGGGTGCTGGATCTGGTGTTTCCAACGTTGTGGTGAATATATTGAGGCCACAAATAAATATATTGAGGTCAGAAATTAATATATTGAGGTCACAAGTTATGTGAAACGTAGCCCATGGCCTTAAAGTATTAATTTGTGGCCTCAATATATTAATTTGTGGCAACGCCTTATTAAAAATAATAACCATGTCACAATAGAAGCTCCGTAAGTTTATGCTTGAGTAGTAGCAAAATATCTGTAAACCTTATTTACGATAAGTTCACAGTTTTAGCTAAAAGATATTGTTTAGTATCGCAATATACTGTAGTTACTTGAATGTGCTCTACGGGTTCTTGAAGACTTTTATTTTGTCACGTGACAAAATAAAAGTAGAAACTTACGGCGCGTTGCTTGGGGAGGGTGTTTTGGACGGGTGGTTAGCTGATAGTTAAACAAACTAACCTAGATACTTTTGGCCGGGTGGTTTTAATAAATATTTGGAAGAAGGCTACTATTATAAGTGAATATATGACTGCCTGTTATTAGCGAGGTGTGGATGTAACTTAACTACTGCTGCGGACTCAAAACCTTTTGTGTTGTGTGAGCTAGCTAGCGTTACGTTAGCTAACGTGCTAATCTGTAAACACATCACATTCGCACAGCGGTCTGAAATAAATGCCTTTACTAAAATCGCAGCTTTTGTAATTCAGAAGTCGTGTTTCATTGTCAGTCTTCACAGGGATATGTCGCTAAGTTCAATACAGCCCACATTGTCTACGCTGAAGACATGTCAGGTCGACATTGGTACAGGAATGGACATCGTGTCAGACGTTGCTTTGGACCTAGTCGAAGCCCAAGGTACAGTAAAGTTAATCTGCTGCTGTCAGTCGACTCGTAGCCGTTGCAAGTTTTACTGCAGAATTGGCAGTTAAGTTTGAAATGATGTGGTGCTTCATGTGCCTTGAAGGAAGCATGTGCTAACCTCCACCCTCCAAGCCTGGTTAGCATCATGTCACTGGGGAGACCTAGCTGTCAGGTGGAGTTGGACATGATCAAAATCCTCTCAGTATCCCTAATATGTTTTGATTCTCCGTAAACGTCTCAAACTGGGAGTGTTTTGGTCCAGCAAATTCTTTTGATGTCTCTGTACTACACTGTGAGTGATCAGAGCACTACGATTCTTCAAAGCTTTTAGAAAAAGAGGGATCCTCTGTTTACATTCTATGCTGTCAGCACGTCGTGGTTGTCATAGTTAGTGTCAGCATTTGTTGTTGTTCCCTTTTTGGCTATCTAGGTTTTGGCACTGAGCGTGGATCCAAGACGACAGGAAATTTGATAAAAAACATAGCCGCCTTATGTTAATCTGAGCTGACAACTACTGTATAAGCAAAAAAAAAAGAAGGTAGGTGTAAAATAAATATTTGATCAAAAATGGCCAAATTCATAAAGTGTAGCCAAGGTCTTCCGAAATTAACAACCTGAGATATATATGACTGTCTCATGTAAATACTTTGTAATTGTAATTGACCAAAATACAAAAGCAGTTACCTAAGATTACTCTAGGGTTGGAAGTGTTAAAGACTCTGTTTTCATCCTCGACTTTCCTTTTTTAACAAGCCATTTTATTCAGATCTCACAAAAATTAGTAAGTAAATAAATAAACGAATAAAAATAATAAGAATCTACAAAATATTTCAAATTATCCTCTTTCCGATCTGATGTCTAGCTTTATAGTCTCTGTTCTGTTGAGTTGCCTTTGCCTGTTAGTGGATAAGTAGTAACACAAGACTGTTGTAGAAGCCGCTGTTGTTCATGTTCATGTAGGCATGTTGTTCATGTTCATGTAGGTTTTGCTGCTCATGAGTTGTCATTTCTCTGATTATGTTGCAGATTGAAAGTATATATAAAATTCATAAAAGTGTACAAAAAACCCTGAACCGAACTTGCTGTTCAAATATGTTATTGAAAGCCAACCAACATGTACCAGCTGTGTTACTTAGTGTCCTCTAGGATCCACCATTTCTTAAGTTTAAACACCAGCAATTATGATATAATTGTGTTCAAACATTTTATTCCAGGTACCGATGACAGTCCAAGTTTGAGGAAACTGGAGCAGATGATGTTGGAGTGCGCCACACTGGACAGAGAGATAAACTGCTTTGTGGAGTCTGTTGAGCAGATGACAGCTCGAGTTAGTATTTCGGGCAGTTTCTCATGGCTTCATGGCATTGCTTGCCAGGTTTTCTCCATCCCACTTATTCATCTTGGTGATGTTTCTCCTTCTTTAGGTGAGACATGAACCTCCACATGCCATGTTCACGCTGTTGGACTCGGTAAAAGATCGCTTCTCTGAACTCATGGCCACAGATGCAGACATTCAAAGGCACAGTAAGGTGGTGGCCTTCAGGGACAGCATCAGGAAATCTGTGTTACAAGGTAGGCTACGGATCCAAAGTGTTGACTTATATGTGAATATATACTGTAAACTAGATTAATTAATAGTGTTTTTTATTTAGTAGTACATTTATGACCTCTTCTCTTAGAGGGCAGTTGTTAGGAAATGATTGACCACAGTGTGATTTGATTATTTTGGTATGATTCAGAATTATTTCCACCATTTTTTTAAAAAATGTGTGCTTAATTAAATGGTTGATATGTAAATAAAGTCATTCAGAGTGGTTTGATGTGAAGTGGTGCGTTACAGAGATACTTATGGACAGATTTTCTTACAGTGGTTGTGATAGGAACTAGGGGTCACAATGTCCATCACACAAATATAGCCCTTTTATTTAATGTTTTTTAATAAGTGACCCCACACATGCTTTTTTTGTTTTTATGTTATGTTAATAATGGCAAAATAGTGGTAAATCTGAACTAATACATTTTCTTTGGGTACTGTTTTACCTACCCTACCCCCTTCATGTGCTCCTACACCATGATCGGCATAGCCAGCTCTTCCAGCGATGTGCCAAACTTTCCCTAATTCTGACCTTCCTATTTCTGCTCATGCAATAACAAAGAGAATAGGATGATTCATTGCACTAGATGATAATAATACTAGATGATAATAATTAAGTACATAGTGCTTAAAACAGTTCCATAACCTTTCAGTTTTATTTCTATGGATGCATTTCAAATAGGAGAGAATGAGGAACTCTGATTGCTGTTAAATGTGCTCGAGCCCCAGTATGAAATTCCATCATACCCTGTTCATGCATGGTGCCTAGCTTTGGGTGGTGTAAGAGTAATAAGGTATACTGCTGTACTTAAAATTGTTGCCAGTATTTAAATATGATCACAGTATTTAAAAATTGTGTCAAATTTCTATTCCACATTCAAACGGCCTGTTAAACTTATTATACTGTAGGGGGGCTCACTAATTGTGAGAGCTCACCAATATGAAAAGCTAAGGACAGCCAGGAACACTAAGCCCGATAGTGGCTGAGTGACGGCTAAGAGCTACACTCACCACAGAACATGTTTTGATTTTGGCTTTCACTCTAACACCAGTCTCTTGGCAACTGGGAGTCATTTTAGCATCAGTTAGCTGGAATCATGCCTTTGCTATGGTGTGTGGCATGTTTAGCCTGCTGAGCTATATTCAGCTTGGCCATACACTATAGTTTCAACGGTACAGAACAGGTTTGATTTCGGCTTTCTGCCATTCCAACACCAGTTACTTACTTTTTGCCCTCTCAGACATTAATCTTTATCATCTAAAGTTTTTTCAGCAGAGTACGGAGCCCGGTAGGGGTCACTAAAGAGAAAAAAATTGTGAGGAGGAAAATCTGTCCCGGCAGTTTAGAAATCAGTACTCTCGGTTTATAAACTGTGCCCACGCATTTGTAAACTGTACTCTCGGTTAGCAAAACTGTACCAACGGATTTATAAATTGTACTCTCGGTTAGCCAAACTGTACCGAAAGCACACGCTGCCTCCCACAGCTACGATACAGGCCACATTTATGAGATATTTTTAGAAACTGGAGAATTTTGTGACATTTCTGAAACAGGTCAGGCAATTGGACGACACAACTGTGTCGACCTTTCATGATAAAAAGATTAATATAAGCAAGTAATGTTAACGTGACATAAAGCAGACATTACTAGAAAGTAGGTAGGATATTGTGCTGTAGCTTTCACACACACCGTTTTCAGCGGCTTTACCATTTCATTAAATTACAGTTTAACCTCACTGCTTAATTGGAGTGTTTTGTAGACATGTATTATGTGAATGCATTTGTTTAAAACGAGGCAAAAATAATCTTGTTTTTGCCTATATTATCCCACCACGCGGCCAGCGACGACTGAATGGAGTTTCAGCCCGAAGAGCACATTGCATGTTAAAAGGAATAACATTAAACCCTGACTATGCAAGAATTGCTGGATATTTACAGCCCAGTGAACAATCAGCGTTGAAATCACGTGCATGAGCGTCATTTCAGTACAGTAGTTTACAAATCCGTCGGTACAGTTTTGCTAACCGAGAGTACAGTTTGCAAATCCACGGGCCCAGTTTATAAACTGAGAGTACGGATTACTAAACTGCAGGGACAGATTTTCCTCCTCACAGTTTTTTTTTCTCATTAGTGACCCTTACAGGGTATCAAACCTGTGCTGTGGTATGTGGCACTGCTTGGGTCTGTAGCCTGCTTGCTAAGCTAATCTTAAATTAGTGATTAGGCTACAGATTCAAACACCACAGAACAGAATTAATTTAGTCTTTCTGTCTTTTCAGCAACAGTTGCTCAACTTCACTCCCTCAGATTTGAATCATTATCTTATAAACGTATGTAGGTGCTTTAGTTAGCCAGAATCACACCTGGTCTGTGGTGAGCAGAGCTGTTACGCTAGCTAAGCTAATGATAACCTGCTCTTCTCTTCTAGCTAGCAGCACTGTTAAACATATAGCAGTTGTTCGATAGATGCCTTTGACATTTATTGAATGATGGCTTGGAAATCGTTTCCTGTGTTCTCTTATTTGGAGACCATGTAAGCGAACTAAACTTTGTGATTGTATTAGATTTTAAAATAAAGGATGAGACATAAATGCTTTTCATCACTTACATTGGGATACTGTATACTACGGTAATGTTAGCAGATGTTTTGAAAGTATGAAACAGGTAGATACTCCACTTTGTGCTGGGTATGGCACAATTCATTGCAATTACGGTGAATAGTTGGACATCTTGTAAAAGAGAACCTTCTGGTTTGTATTTGCATGTCCTGCATTAAGCTTATGTTTAATAAAAATATGAGGTTCAAATTTGGTAACATTTTTCAGTGCTAAACGGAGATACCAAACAGAACCGTCGTCCAGAAACCAAGGACCAAACCGTGAAAGGGGTGAATGTTACACCTCTAAATGAGAGTCATTTTGTATGTGTACCTGTGTGTAGGAAATCAGATGGCAGCTGCTAACGTGGAAGAGGAGCTGGATGAAGACATCGCTGTAACACAGAGTCAGACAAACTTCACATGTCCTCTTACCCAGGTATTATTCTTCTCAGTCATTTAAATATAAAAAGCATCACACCCAGTACTGAAGGTTAATTGTGAAACATCTATCATGCGTGGTGATCATTGTGGTTCAATAACACCTTGTCATTAACAGGTTGAGATGGTGAATCCAGTGAAAAATAAAAAGTGCCAACATTATTATGACCAAGAAGCTGCACTAGCCATGATCAAGACTAAGCACAACAATAAGAAGAAGTTTCGGTAAGCTGAAACTAACCTTGAACAATATTGAACCTTTTGCTCTTTTCAGAAGGCCATTTAGATTCTGCTAGTACATTTTGCAGTCAGGCCCTTTTCATCACCGTTATCAGTAAGTGTTGTCCTTCAGCAAACCTGGTGTAATCTCACCATGGCCATGTACATATTAGCTTATGTATACATCGATGAGCCAAAACATTCTGACCACCTGCCTCATATGGTGTTGGTGCTCTGCATGCTGCCATAACAGCTCTGACCCCTCAAGGCATGGACTTGACCTTTGAAGGTGCCCTGTGGTACTTGGCACCAAGGTATTAGCAGCAGATCCTTTAAGTCCTGTTTGTTGCGAGGTGGAATTTCCACAGATGCTTAATTGGATAGAGATCTGGAGAATTTGTTAGCCAGGGCAACATCAGGTTTCTCAAACCATTCCTGAACAATGTGTGCAGTGTGACAGGGCGATTTATCCTGTGGAATAAACCCATTACTCCCATAACCAGCATTAAAAATTCCTGTGACTTGTAACACAGTAGACTTCTGCTGATTCGGGCCAGTTGGGATAGCCTTTGAAGCTGTCCTGCATCGATGAGCCTTGATGAGAATCCAACATGACGACTACAAGAACTGACTGTTCATTTACTGTCCAATGTATCCCAGACCTTGACATAACTGTTGTTATGAGATAATCAGAGTTGTAGAACAGATAGTTCTGGTCCTAAAATCTGATCGACTGGCGTTCAAAGCTGTTGTAAAATCCACAATGTACCGCTCCTATGACCGCCTCACAACTGAGCTCTGTATTACTGCGCCACAGCAGGGAAAACTGTTCAAGCATTCATCTTTGACTGTAACGCTGATCGCACGGCGCACCGAGTGTACTGATAAAGTAAGAACGCGTTTTTGTTTAAACTGACGTTATGAAAACTTATTTTCTTTACTAGAACTTGGCTGGTCAGCTAACCAACAGGCTAAAGGATAAAAAACATGCTAAACAACACCAACATTATATCACAGGCTTGTATTAAAGTACTCGTGATATGACTCACTGAAAAACGGCAATGTAGAAGTCTAAAGAATGTCACCTGAATGGCTTACACGCTTTAAATGTCCGTGTTTGTCATGTGTAGCATCAAAGCCAGGCTGAATCCCAAATGGCTCTGTACTCACTGAATAGTGTGCTGTGTAACATTAAGTTTCTTGAAATTCTAGCTTCTGCTGTCAAATAGTGCACTGCTTGTCGAGTATGAATGTGGATGAATCCCAAATGACCATTTTTAATTATATTTTGCATTGTTGGGTGCAGGAGTCAGTATTTAAATTCCAGCGTAGCTAGTGAGCCGTAGGGAGTAGGAAGCCGTTTGAGATTTAGCCCCAGCGTAAGAAAAGTGGCGTCGTCAGACTGGCTGAAGAAGACTCGCTGTTGTAATTTGGTGACCAAAAGTACTTTTAAAGCAAAGTTTTTTGCATTAAACAGTGCTGTGTTATCATATGTTCACTGTTATATGAGAAAAGTTTTAAAAAATCATGAAATGTCTGCAGTAAACAGTGATTGGCAACGAAACGCTCTCCTCATTCAGCGGTCAATGGTTGCTTAGCAATGATATCGCAGTCTAAAGGAACTACATTTCTTGGCGAAATACTTATGTCGATTATTATTAAAAATAAATAACAATATTAATATATTTTATGTTGGCCGGCGTTTAATAAAAGCAATAAGCCACTCGAGGCAGTGCGTTACTGCAGTTTTATCACGGGGGAGGGAGTTTTAGGCAGAACACCCTTGCCTGTGATGAAGTCGCAGTAACCCACGACCTCATATGACTTATTGCTTTATTATTCACTTCATCTGTGATTGCTCATAATGTTTGGGCTCATTCCTGTATATAAAAATATATGTTTGCAACAGAACCAGCTGAATAACAGGAATATAAATTCCTTATCAAAAGGATAAGTCCCTGCCCCCAACAAGGAGGATTCTGAAAAGAATGCCCCAAGGTTTCATGTTTTGGTCTGAAACTGATGATAGGACACTACATGATGATTTCTCTGATGGTATTTGGTATTTTAGAAACATGGAAATGCCAGAAGTTCATTAACTGTTGACTGTACATTTGTAAAAACAAATGTTCAAAATACAGTTTCCACTGTTAAACTGCAGTATTAAATGCCATAGCAGACATAGTTAGACTGTTCGACTCTCAATTTACTTGATTCCACTAATTAGCTGCAAGTCTTCATTTGATTGTGGCATGGCAGTAGATTTTGGAACACATTCAGCAAATCCTGGATTTGTAGAAGTTGGCTGGTAATATATAGTATATTAGCATATTATAGTAACGTAATATGATTACTTTTTATTTTAACAGGGCTTTTTAAACAAATGATTAAAGATGACTAGGTGACTTAACTGTGCTTTGTGTGTATGATAAAACTTGTTTATTCAAATAAGATGTGATATAGAACTACAACAGAGAAGGTGGGGAAAGCAGCTATTGTGCCTCAGTCACTGATGATCACTCACAATTAGCGAAATGGCCAAATCTCAGTGGAACAGTATATGGAAATGTTTCAAACATATGTAAATATTGCGAACATAAAGATGATAAATATGTACAGTATACATGCAGTATGTATGTGAGCTTAGTACTCGTGAGCGGTGAAGAAGGTGACAAGTTCAGAAACCGTGGCACGAGAAAATTTGTGATTCCAAAGCTTTAATTTACGTCTGTTCATTTCACCACTTTGCAAATTATAAATAAGAAGACAAATGTAATCAGTATTATTGTATGCAGAAGCAGTAGAGGCACAGTTATTTTTGATTTAAGTACACTGACTCCAGTATGTGATGATGCAGGGAATGTGTTTGGAATTGTTTTAAAACCTCTGCTTCAAACACAAAAGTTACAAAAGAATCAAAACCTTCTATCATCACTTTATAAACCGTATATTTGTTTCAATGAAATTGAAAGTATATTTGATGTTGGAAAAAATAAATAATTGCAAAAAATAAATGTGAAGGATAGGAAACATAAACAGGCATTATGCAGGTAAATTAGATTAGATTCAACTTTGTGCAAAGTAGATCTAATGTGTTATTTTAAACAGGTAACACCTGTAATTTTTCAAGAAGAGGGAGCTTAAATGTATCTGTATGCTCCTTTTTTGATGATGTATACTTTAATGGCATTAATCATCTTGTGTATTTCTGACAGCTGTCCTGTTGTTGGCTGTGGGAACATGGATGTGAAACAGTCAGATTTGGAACTGGACCTGGTGATGAAGAGAATGATCCAGAACCATAAGAGGCAGAGCGGAAAGAGTTGAGTTCTGAGTCATAGAGTTACAATCTTTATTTTTGTTGAAACATTATTTGACTTATTGGGCATTTCTATATTTGTTTCTAGCAAAAACCTTTGCAACTTCATTGTGTTTTATTCTGTATCATATTGTATCATATATGTTTTTTCTTCAAATAAATGTCTAATATTTGCACCCTATCACTAATTTTTGTGTCATGCTCAGTCTGTGTTACACTGTTGCAAGATACATTATGACTGGTATAAAAATACTCTATGTAATATGCCAAGGATTTTTTTTCTTGAAAGACATCTGTTGCTCCACCCCTTCCCCATGAAGGTCATAGTTAATAATTAAAATGATCTAAATCTTGAAGACAAGATACATATTCTTGTAATTTAAACCAGAGCCAGATTTTAATTCAATTTAATTTCACTGTAAAATAATCCATCACAACACCCATAAAAGCAGACCTTCCCCATGTCACATGGACAAGAAATCATTGCATAATAAACAAACATCACAGGGTAGTAATACACACTATTTAGACAGGCAGGCAAGTCAAATATCATTCAGATCGTTCGTTTCATACAGCAGATACAGTAGTTTCAAACTGAACCCAGCCATCAGGAGGTTTGCGATGACGTCTGGATTCGGAACAGTTTTATGCTGGAACTGAAGTCTGATTGGTTACACCGAGAGATCAGTCCCTTCATTTACTAAAAGCTAAATAAATGACCGGTATTTGTAACAAGCTTCCGTTCCCCTGATTCCACTGCATTGCCTTTTCCTTTCAGGCAGATGTCACCATCTGAATGTTGGCTATGGCTTAACCCAGAGGTCACCAACTCTGTTCCTCTACTTTCCTTTTCTAAAATGCAGCTACCCCCCAAAAAACGCATATGATTCAACCAATCAAGGGCTGAGGAAGTTAATTAGCTGAAGCAGGTGTAGACTTTGCAGGAAGGCAGATCTCCAGGACTCCAGGAGTTGGTGACCACTGGCTCAACCTGTATATTTTTCTTGAAGGTTGATAAATCAAACGTAAAGCACACAGACCCAAAGTTTTTCAACAAACGTTTGGGTTGGTGTACGTGTGATTACTCAGAATCTTTACAATGTTCTTCCCCATTCACACTGGTCTAGAATGTTCTCCTCAGTTCACACGGGTTCATTTAGCCTGTCAGTGTCTGTTCTGGAACGTTCTAAAGCTAGCTGCCAACATTAGAACATGTGTGTTGGAGAATAGTGGGAACCTTGAAGTTTTAGGTGCATGGTTTTACAATTATTGGGACAGTTTATGGAGAAAAAGGTCAAAAATGTCCAGTGAGAGATTCTCTTTGCCACTTATATCAGACACTCTGGAGTCTGGCTAAAGTTAGCTGGCTAAAAGAATCAGAATCATTTTTCTTCAATTGGACATGAACTACGGTCACTTCAGCAAATGACAACGTGGCAACAGTGTGTCTAAACCTAAGACCTGGGTGGGGAACTGAAGCCAGTTGGCTGATTTCCTTGCTCTAAGACACCAACCAAACCTGGTAATTTACTCAATCAGGTGAACTTGAGCTGGAAAAATCACCAAACTGCAGAAATCCAGCCCTCTAGGACCACATTTGCCCACCCCTGACCTAGGAAATGAACATAAACCAAACTGCACCCCCCTGTCAAAGGACATTCTTTCAGGCAAAGCTGATGAAAGCAGATTTTTTTTGTTCTTCTCTGTCTGTCCCCTCAGACGGATGTAAAGTAATAACGTCTTGCACTTGTGGCATTAAAAAGTGAATCTTGATTTGAATCAGTATTGGGGAAAAAAAAAAAGCAAAAAAAACAAAAAACAAAAAAAAACACAACTTGATTGTTAAAGAATATAAACCCAGCATACAAATTTGGCCTGAGGCCTCAACTAAAAAAAGTACAAGACCGGCATCTACTACCTGTCAAAACTCTGACAGCTTTGTATGTCTGGTCAGAGACAAAGGGACACGGAAACGTCCATTCCATAACAGTACATTACAGTATGACTTGGATATGAGAGACGCTGACCTGCTTATTTTCTACTTTTTGTCTAGCAGAATAATTTGAACACTGCCATTGGTATGAAAAGAGGAGGAAATTGGGTACTTGAGAACACTCATATAAAATAAAAGTGACCAAAACCTACAAAACACAGGTGTCTGAAATAAGCACTAAATATATGTACTTGTTGCTTCTTTATAGGACCAAGAAAAATGGCAGATTTCCCTTTCAGAAATGACCCCTGGGCCTATAAAACTGCAGAAATGATGAGGAACAAACATGTAAAAGGCATCTCCATGTAACCTGGATGCACCATATCATAAGTAAACAAGAAAATGTGTTTTTCCCCATATATTTTAATGTTATACTTATCTGATCAAGTGGTTTCACATGATCAGCAAAACAACCTGCCTGACTGTTGCTTTTTGACTGATTGTTGTTTGTAGATAGATAGAAGAGAGCTTGATGGACTCAGCTTGTGTAGTCCTGTCAGCGCTCTGGCCTGGTCCATCTGTGTGAGTGTTAAAACGCAGTACTGTTTGAGCGCCTCCGAGTCCGTTTCAGTTTCGGTGTTGGTCCATGTCCCCCTGTCTCTCTGCACCAGTCCGAGCCTGGTGGAGGGGCAGAGCTGCTGAGAGTCTTGGCCGCCCGTGCCGCTCTAACCGATGGTGACGCCGAAGCCGCACTGGAACTTGTTCTTGCGGTGGTTGAGGAAGGCGCCGAGAGCCAGCGACAGAGGGAGGGGGACCAACTTCTTCTCCATTGTGGCCCCTACCACCCAGTTACTGTCTAATGAACCTGGAATGGAATTTAATGGAGAAGTTAAACATCGGTTACAAACTCACTTACATGATTAGTTTTATATGAGAAGGTTGGGTCATGTCATTTTTATCCTGCGTTTCTCAGTTGTTTTAGTCACGTCCGAATGTCATTCATTTTTACAGAATGCGCACTCACACCTGTAAAGATTCTGGGGCTTTTTACCTTCTACAAACCGAGCTGTAGAAATATCCTCAGGTTATGTTAACCCCTTGTGAATCTTCATGTCAGTAAAAATGCTATCATATTCTGTGAAAAAGTTTCTTAAGTATTGGAAAAGTTGAAGATGTAAAGTTACTGCCCTATCCTACATGTACAACTCAAAACATGTCAAAATTACAGAAAAAAAAATTGACTGTCTGTGGTTGGTCATTGGCTGTAAATTTCCAAGCATTCCATTGCATTCCCTTAAGACAGTGAGGTAGATGGTTAAGGTATAACAAAATAGCAGCTAAATTAAATGTTTCTACAAGTTTTCTACTCATTCTGCTGTAACAGGAGCAGCCACTTCCACTTTTAAGAGATTTAAGAGATTTCTTATCCCGTGCGAACTGGTCATAAACATTACAGACGTCCTGTGTTGAACTGCCATTAATCCACCTCCCCATAGGAAACTAATCCTGTCTGAATTGGGCTTTTCTCATCCAAATTTCAGAGTCCAGATATCTGAAATCTGAGCCAACCCTTATAAAACCCTACTCTTACAAAGGTGGTTTCTAAATAGTTTAAAATTAAGTTTGTTAATGGATATTAATTAGGTCATAAACATCAATAAGCAGTTTTAACGCCTAAAAAGAAACAGTGACCTGTTATATCTGATGAATATCTGATTAAGATGACAAGTTTAATGCTGACTCATAGAGAAGATAATTAGCCAGTAAGATTTGAATATAACGTTACAGACAAATGTAGGCTCACTATTTGGCAAGAAACAAGTCAGTATTGCCCTTTTTATAACCACTTATTAATGACTTTAGGCGTTAATTAACTAATTTTCACAAAACATCATCAATCAACAAAATGTCATTTGATCAGGGGTTTTCAAACTCTTGCTTACAGGTGTAATTACTGTAAATACCAATACTGTACAATAACAAACAACAAGCAATGTATTGTGCAGTCCTACCGCAAAAATTTAGGACTTAATTTCAGAAGGTACCTTTAAATTGAAGATTAGCTTTGGGGAGATCCACCTGATAGCCGAATGACACACTTGTTTCTTGCGTCCGTGTGCTAGCCTCGAACTCCACCCCGACCTGTAACTGCAGGAAGCAGTGAGAAGGTTCAGAAAGTGGGTCTCATTCATTTCATAAAGTCAAATCAGTGACCTTATTACTCCAGCATTAATGTACACGTGGATAAATTTAGTTAAAACATTTTATGTAGGGTATAAATTCCAGCAGCATTTTGATGACATTCTAAAATTGTGTTTAAGGATTTATCATTTTTATATTAAAATCACAACTAAAGAGTGCAGTTCTCAAAATGCAAGAGCTGTGAGTTTAATTACTCCTACATCATTCAACATTATCTTAAGTTTGAAGAGAGGAAATTTAACGTAATGACACAGATCTTAGTATCGGTCTGGCACAATACTTTTTGCGTTCAAGTCCCAAGCCTTAAAAATGGATGTGCTGGTTCTCATGAGATAAAAAGGTATCTTCTTTATCGCAACTGCAGTATTGGTCAGAAAAATCACGATTAGATATTTCCCCCAAATTGCCCCACTTTTACTTGGGAATACAACTGTAATTAAACAAGAAGGGATTAAGTGTGAATGCAAGCCGAAATGGAAATCCCGGTAAAGCTGTTGCGACAACTGATCGACACAAGACCTAATGTAATTGCCAGGAAATCACCAGGAGGGCTTGTGTGAACAAAACCTGATACATTACTGGGAAAGCTGAGTCATGTATTGGCTTCTATTTGCTTTACAGTCAAGCTTTCAGATTTTGAGAGTGGAAAACATAAACGTATTTTGCATGATTCTAAACTGCTTGAGAGAATGGAAAAAAGGCGCTTCTTTATTTTTCAGGCTGCGACTGCACAAAACTGACGCAGCACCTTTGACAAAGTGGAATGTTTCTTTAAGTCTTTTATTTATTGAGTTGAGTTTTCAGTTTTCGCACTAGTAGTTACTAGAAGTGCTTTTGTACTTGCTTTGGAAATGAAGGAGCCATTTATGCAGAGGAAATCATGTCCTGTTTAACAGGACAAATCTGAACGTGTGCATCCCAGTAAAATACCAATTAATGGCGGCAAGTGTAAATGATGCAGTCCAAACGTTAGCAGCAAAGCCAGTAATGTACTGGGTTCTAAACGTGGCTTCTGTCTCTTACTTTTGTGAGACAACCTTTGATAAAGGGTGGAACATATAAATGGAACATATAAAACTGAAGGTTACCTGGTCATTAGCTTTGTGGTAATATGAAGCATGCGCACCAGCTCCTCCAACCGTCAACGTGGCCACATAGTTGTTACCTGAAAACAATAGTGTCGTCATTGGTATAGATCTATATACATATCCATCTACAGTACTGTGCAAAAGTCAGAGACCACCGTTTTATTTATAATCAAAATGGACAGTAAGTACAGGTTGTTGGCTGTTGTTCACAAAAGCTTCCAACTCCAAGTATAACACCAAATCGCTCAGTGTTTCACTGGATCTTAGTTTGTGCACCTGTTGCCACCTTAACTCTTTCATCATTATAATAATAAAGCCAATGAGTTACAGCTGTGTCCTCTCAACAAAAGCTGTTCCCAAAGCTCTCATACATTATATTCCCATTCAAAGAGACACTAACATTCACAAAAGCAACTACCCAAACCCACCGTAGCTGCCGAACAAATTTCTCTCATGTGTTTCTAAAATGGCTAAAGAAGATATTTCTGAGGAGTTTAGCATAAGAAGGGAAAATCAAAGGAAAATAAGTGGGAGAACAGTAGTTTCCAAATTGAAAATTCCAGAAAGATGCAGAGGAAATGGGACTTGTACTTCACAGCCCAGTTGTTTTGTTTTTGCACTGTAGTAGACTGCGTACAGTACTGTTGTGAAATTTCAATTTGTTGAATAATCTGTCAATATACAAGCCTTGGTTGCATAAGTTGGGACAGTACATGATATGCAAATGAAATTTAATTCATTTTACCTTATTAACTTGATTGTTTTATGAAAATATACTCTCATTTTGAAACTAAGAGCTGCAACACCTTTCAAAATAGCTGGGACAAGAGCAATTTAAGGAATTTTTGGAAATTTAGGGAGCAGCTCTGAATAGTGCTGCAACTCTTCAACTGTAAACACTCTATAAGAATAAAGACATGCATGTCACTTTAATGATAAATAAGAAAAATGTTTTTTAAAAAATCATATCATTATTTGTTGTTATTACTACAGTTACTGAATAAACTGGCAACCCTTATTAGGTTGCTGACATTGTTTCAACATGTCAGCGATGAGCAGCGCAAGACTCGTCAGTGAGCGAGGGTGTGACCTTGTTAAGCCTCTCAAATAAATGTTTTATATCCGAGCATGTGCTAAACTCAGTTGTGTCGGTCTTATCGCCTGGTGCAGTTTAAATAAGTTTCTTTTTTCTCTGGATGGAGGGCTCTGACTCCTGCTATCACTGTGGTTTTGACAGGAAAGGACTATCTGACTAACATGAAAAAAGCTATCCATAAATTGCTGTTTTTGCATGATATGCAGGCAGATTATCTTGGTCTTTTTAGATGCGCTGTTACTATGCTACTGGTGACTCACTAGTGTTTAGCTTGATAAACAAAACTCTCAGAAAAGGCTTTCAATAACTTTCAGGAAAGCTCAGTCCATTATGATGGGTGGAGGCCATATTTTGGTACGGTGCAATAGAATATAGAGAAATCTGCATTGATAACCAGCATGCCTCTGGGATGGATACCACCACATGGTCTTGACAATACTTTGAACAAACTGTTGTCACTGTATCTGCAAATGGAAGTTAAGACTCTAAGGAACCATATGTCAACAACGTCCAGAAATGCTACCAACTTCTCTGGGCTCCAGCTTGTCTGAAATGGACAAGCCTAAGCTAGGCATGGACCAAAAAGCCTAAAAGTCAGGGCCAATTTCCCTTAGACTTGGGAATAAGGCGTTGGGACACTGGTCGTAATGTTCAGCACCCAAAGGCCCATGATTCTAATACAGGTCCCATACTTAACAGCTATCACAGCCTCTGGACAAAGTATGCTGTGGTCAGACAAGTCAACCCTACAGACTGTTTACGGAAATTATGGATGTCGTGTTTTCTAGGCCAAAGAAGAAAAGGGCCATCCAGATACCAGCGTAAAATTCAAAAGCCAGGGTCTGTAATGGCATGGTCTAGAATGATGTACACATTTTGGGGCAAAAATACAGATGCTACCTGTCTCACACTGAAAACATGTAGCCCAAAATACAGCAATAAAGGCTCTGTACGGTTGCGCAACTAAAGTTTTGTATAAAAGAAGAGCAAAAAATCTGCTTTCAAAATGTAATCAGTTCATGAATGAAGTTTTGTTAGAGGAAGGGAGATGTAACACAATGGTAAACATGGTTCTGCCCTCACTTTTTTTTAAATGTGTTGCAGGTGAAAAAAAACAAACAAAAAAAAAGTGTTTCTGTACTGTTTTCTATTTAATACAGGTCAAACAGAATTTACTAATCACTGCTTCCTATTTTATTAGCGTTTAATATATTGTCCCAATTTTCTTTGGAACTGCTTTGTACATACATTTATATGGTGTTGCATAATTACCTGTGTACCTGCCCACTAATGAGGTCACTGTACCCTCCTCTCCTGGTCTCCTGTGGTAAACCAACTCACCACCCAGTGCCAAAGCAGGTGACAGAGACTGAAGGTAATGGGCCACTATAATACCTATAACAGCAGACAAACCATGAAGAATGTAGTGTTACTAAGAGTACTTGCATTCTTATATTACAACCTAACATTTAAAAACTTAATTGTTTCCTTTTTTAACATATAATAGCCAAAAAAACATCCAAAGGAATGCTGAAGTGGGACTGAAAACTGTCCCGCTAACCATGTAGTACAACTTAATTTGTTTTTCCTTGTTTCTTTCCAAAAGCATTTCATGTAATATTCTTGATTATACCCTTGTCAGAAGTACACAGTCTTTACTTGAAATTTAATCATGCTGACTGAAAGCTGTTTGTCTGATATTTGTGTTGCTGTGTGATCTGTGAAATTGAGCTGAATTACAAGTTTCTAGTCTAACAGGGATAATCTGACGAATTCTATTATTGATTCCACTCAAGTTACACTGGCATTGGAAATGGGGGCACTGTAAAGTTTTTAAGGTAATATGTTTAATGACTCAAACACTTCAAGAAACAAGAGATCACATTTAGAACTGTGTACCAGTGTGTGCTTACATTATCTTTAAGAACCATGTCTCTTCTCCTGCCAGCCCCAAACCAATTTAATTACCCCATTTATAAGTGAAAAGAATTTTTACAGTGATAGTTTGCATTAGAAGCTTAGGCAATGGCCAATTCAGGAGAAACATTCTGTAAACATTTCAAAGGGAATGAACAGGGAAATTACCAGATCCAACAAGGATGTCTGGATTGCCAAGGGTTATAGCAGCAGTGAAGTCATCTCCACGGTATTCTGCATCACATTGCCAGTTCACAAACTTGTGTTGCTGTGTCTGTAACATAAGACTGTGATAAGTTCATGCTCATCACAAGCATGGGTTAGGCATATCATAAAATCACTTAACTTCATGATCCTAGGAATATTTAATTTGGTTTGATAGTACTCCATACTTGGGCTTGTGCTTAATGCTCAAGTTACAAATGCAAAAAGTGTCTGGTCAGAAAAAATTACACCTTTTTTACAACTATAACCAACACCCTGCCTTTATTGCCTAACAATTAGTGCCTGACTGATATGTTTCTTGGTCAATAAAGCAACAGTAATGATGCAGATATAAACACATTTGTTTTGTTCTTATGCCAGACTTTACAGAGCCTGCTAAATCAGGGATGGACTTGCCATCAGGCGGACCAGGACAATTCCCAGGGGGCCTCTATGCGTGTGGGCTGCAGACAGAGCCAGAGAGAGAGAAATGCATGGTTGTTTTGCTGCTGTAGTCCTACATAAAATTAATGTAGATCGCCCGGGACACATGGCATGTGCTGGGCAAATACTGGAGTGTACATATCTAGACACAAGGCTACTGCATTCTCAGTGTGTGGTCACTGGCCAATTATGCAAATGTTGCTGCCCCAGAAAAAAGCATAATGATGACAACTGTGAAAGTTAAATCAAGAGGGAGATGGAAAAAACCTAAAATAAAAATTAAAGAAGTGAAGATATCAGAGCAAGAAACCGCAGTGCCAAAGTGCAGATGGGGTAAGTCAGCTAGTTCATTCAGTCTACTTGTACACTAAGGCTAATTAACTAGCTACAGCGTCTTTGACGTGTTCACACTTATGTATTTTAAAGAGGCGGGGTTGCGATTGTTGGGTGTCGTGGTGAAGGAATGGTCACTGTGACGGTTTCAAGCTCTGAAACCCAGGATTCACATGTGACCTGAAGTCTCATATACATTCCTGATACCTTCAGTCTATAAGTTTGTTGCAAACTGGCTGCTGGAAAATAAAATACGCTCAACGTCTTTCCTGGACATCCACATATTTTCTGTACATAGAACAGATTTCGATTTATAGCCTATTTATTCACGTATTACATATGCTGTTGAGAAGCCTAAAGATGTGAAACCGTATTAGGGATGGGGCCAAAAAAAGCCAAAAGTTGAGCAATAAATCTGTCTTTCATATTCAAAATGGTATTGACCAAAAAACTCTTAGTTTTAAAGCTTTAATTTCTTGTTAATTTCAGCACTTTGTCAATCATACACAAGAGGTAAAATGTAACAGTCTGTTTAATTTTTCACCAAATTATATCACCTCATATTATCAGTTAGAATTGTCAGCTAATAATATAATATTATATTGATCTACATATACGCTAATACTATACAGGACTAAACAATTCAAATTGAGTTCAAATCAGTCATTTTCATCTCTTAAAGGCTGACTGTTTTCTCCAGTGTGCAGCACCCACCTGCATAGCCACCTTGGAGCGTATGTGTGTTGTCAGCTGATGAATAACCTGTGCGTTGAGACTGCCTGTGTTGTCCATGTCACCAACCATTACAGGGAAAGACTAGGGAAAGAAAGCAGCATATGTTATTTACATTACCCTGTATTAAAACTAATTATGCCTATTGTACATTACAATCAATCTGGAGCCAAACCTGGTGAGTTTAATGGTTTCAATCTCGTACTGAAAAAGATTTTTGGCATACGAATTTAATGTTAAATCACTCTGTTAATATTCTCATGAAGTCAGCATTACTGTGTACTGACATAACCCATAGACTGTTCTCATAAAAAGGCCATCAGATCAGTGAAATATCTTAAACTTTTTTGAAACAACAAGTCTCACCTCAGCAGGTCCAGTCTGTTTGCTCCCAACATATGTGGCTCCAAACCTGTAACCAGAGTCTCCAATGGTGCTAAGCGTAACTGTGTGGCTAACCTGTTGTCAAGAAATGGACAGGTTATAGACATGCTTTCTTTACTCTAGGACTGCATAATACAAAATATCACCTTGCAGTCACACTGCTACATATCATGACTGTGATTTGCGTCACAATATGCTAAAAACATCAGTGGACCCTTGATGTGACATGGTTAAAGATCAGGCTGCAATACTTTCACTAAAATGGTTACATTTATTGCATTATGTGACTGCCTTACTTTAACCAAATATCCAATGAAACTCAAATGGAGTGAGGTTGGACAGAATGCTCTTAGAACATGATAAAAATGTGTTTTTGTCCCATAGTCTAAGCAATTAACTGACCAGCTACAAACTAATTATGCTTAATTATACTATAACTTAATAATAACTCAGCCAGTTTGCAATGTAGTCACTGAATAATAAGACACATGATGTAACAAGTCTGGGACTTTAAGGGTTTAAGACTGACCTGGAAGTGATTACTTAACCCCTTGTTGACCACCAGCCGCACTCCCTCCATCTGCAATGGGAAGACTTCTGAAGGTCAGGGAAACAAAGAAAACTGTCAGATCAAGTGTCATCTACTCAGTACTCAACAGTATGGACATAATTCAAGTACGGAGTTACTCACACCATTTACACACTTATACATGCTATATACAACGAGAGAAGATGATGAAAGCTAATGTGGTCAAACAAGCAATGCCCTTGGCACACTGACCTTTGCACTTCCGATGACACTCCTCAAATGTCCCTGGATTGGGCAAAGGGGGCTCTGTCTCTGTCCCAGGCTGGCCTGTGGAGGACTGGGCTGGAGATACTGGGGGCATGGTGAACCCTGGAGGTACTGCCACCAGCCCCGGGCCCGCCTGGGTGCCACCACCCCCCGAAGCGGGAGGGTTTGGGGAGCTGGCAGCCAACACACTGCCCATGCTGCCATAAGAAAATGACAGTTAATAAGACAAGTGCTGACATGACATCACTTACTCAAGAGGGTTCTGTGTTGCTAGTGTAAAGAGGTAGGAATGAGAGTGAGCCCCTTAAAGTGGAATTACACCGATCATTCAATAGTTCAGATGGAATCAAAGTCATTCAGGGTGGTCTGGTGTGAACTGATTAACTGCAGCCATTACATTTACTACATTTAGTGGGGGGCAAAACAGTCATATTTTATCGATATCTCAAAAGACACATCACAATATATTTTACTGAGCTTATTGCGAATATCGTCGGTGCTTTAAGAACACTGACAAAATACATGTTTCATCGCGAAGTGTTTAATTGGATTTAGTTCAGCACAGTATGTGAAACACTGAACTGTTGCTGTAGGTTTTTTATTAGTACTATTATTATTATGGTATTTATAACTATGGCACATCAGATTCTATTTTGTCTGTTCCAACTCATCTCATGCATCATCAAAATGTCTTGAAGTATGTCTTGAAGTATCATGATATAATACTTTTCCTATTATCACCCACCTCTAACTATATTCAAAACCACCAGTGAACCTACAGGCATCCTCTGAGTTTTTATATGCAATGTTGATAATAGTAAAATAATGGTACATCTGAAAATCAATTTTTCTTTGTCTTACAATGTCCTGTATGCACCTCTCTGCAATTAACTGATAAATAATAAAAAAAAAAAACATGTTCATCTCATACATATAAAAAATGAATCAAGCACCAGGCAGCGCATTACATGTTTTAGCTTTCTGTGAGGAAGCTTTCAGAGACATTAGCTAACCTCTTTAGACATCTGGTTCCCATCACCAGCACTGTGAACAGGTCTGATTCGTTAAGTTTCCCTAAGAAGGAACATTTCGCATCAAACCACTCTGAATGACTTTGTTTACATCTTAACCACTGAATTATAAAGAAATCTAGAACAATCAGTATAATTCTCTTTTAAGCTAGACACCAAACTGCAGGTGTTGGTATTATTTCTTAACACATATGTACAAGTGATTAGCCGACATAAACATCAGTTATTAGTCTAAAAAGAACTGAGATACTCAGCTGTTTGGGCATTTAAATCATAGGAGGCTCACAGCACATCAAGCTCACAGCAAGAATGTGTCAAATCTATGCAACACTGTGTAACGGAGGAAAGACTTCATTTACAAGCAACGACTGCAACTTTCCTGGCATCGGTTATTTCGGCGTATCCTTGACTTAGGTCAGGAGTCCTGCTAGTTTAGAACTATCAAGCCATGCTACACCATCAAACCGTACAGACTGTAACAAAAATAACCAGTATAAATAACTTGGTTAACTGTCCGTAGGTCAGCAGTGCCGGCCACAACCTCTAAAGCTTCTCCGATATGAAGACCAATTCATAACCAAGTACAAAAATAAAGACTTGCCTCACGGTTCGCTTGGCAAGCTAGGTTGCTAACGTTAGCTGGTGGGTGATACGACTCTGGAGAAGTGGCTGCATTTCCTTTTGAGAGCTAATACGCTCCCCTCACTGTCTGACCTTACGTTGGTTGACCTAAAGCGTATATTTAGTGACATTTGCAATAACGAAAACGCAGCCGGTTCATGAACAGATAGTTGAAAGGGTTCGTGAGGCCTCGTGTGATACTCACGTTGTGCAATGCGGTCCAGTTCTTCGGCTATAAAGCGCCGGTACGGTGTTATGGCACAACCTACAAGACTGACGACTTGGCCCGCCCACAACGTACAGATCCGAAGGTGATTGGCTGAAGTGCGTTATAGCTGCAAGCGGATTGGCTACGATTGAGTTTCCTGCTGAGGCGATAGGTGAAGATCGAGAGTCGGGGAAAGACGTAATATTGACCACGCCTCCCAGTTCAAGGGTATTGAGTGGGTTGTCTAAATGGACAGCGCCACAGGATTGGATTTAACTACGTTAATTAAAGGGGAATTCCACCAATTTTTTAAACTTTTTGAATAATTTAGTCATTGGGATGTAAGCAAAGTAATTCAGAGGGATTTGGTGCAGAATAGTTCATTGTAAAGACTCAGATTTCTTTACAGTGGTGATGACAGGAACCAGGGGTTGGGTCACAAACACAACACAAATATAGCCATTTTATTTACTATCCAAAACCACCAGTGTCTTCTGAGTTTTTTCTGATGTAAGTAATGTTGATCATGGTAATATAGTCATGAATCTGAAAAAAAAAAAAGTTTTCTTTGGGGACTATTTTTCCTCACAGCGCCCTGCATGTAACCCCTCCGCCATGAATGGATTAAAATACATTTCAAGCCAAAACTGAGACAATGTGTTACACACCAGGCAGTGTATCTGCCACCATTTCATCTAATAACATTCTGTGAGGGAGATTTAGAGGCATTAAACTCTTCAGACGTCTGGTTCCTATCACCACCACTGTAAACAATTCTGACTCAGCAGGTTTCTCTAAAACAGAGTATTTCACATCAAACCACTCCGAATAACATCTCAAGCATTTAATTATGAAGAAATTTTGAACAATCTGTGGAGTTCCCCTTTAAAGACTTTTGCCAAGATGGTTTAGTAATGACAAGCAAGAACCTGAACCCGCAAAGAGGAAGCAAGACACTTAATACACTGGCACTGCCACTGAAAATAACCCCTAATTCTTATTTCCATTCATGTGAAAGAAGGGAATTTGTAATAAAACCTTAGAAACACTGAAAGTTTGTAGGGACTGAGGCTAAAGTCAAGGAGAGTGGCATATAACAACACAATACTCCAGTCTCTTAAGTGTCTTAGTCAGGAAGATACAGACAAGACAGGAGACAGATAGAAGGTAATCAAGAAGCCAGATGGTTCAGTTAAAGGGCCCAATTCATCGAAAAATGAGCTTTCCTCACTTTCTTAAAATAAGAGTTTGATGTAGTATGTAAACATTGTTACAGTTTCAAAGCTCACTGTACACTCTCCAGTCCAGATAGTCTAAAATTCTATAGGTAAATTTTGAATTCACTGCAACCAACACATTTCAGCATTTTAGTTCCACCCAACCTGTCATTTTCTGTCATTTTGAAGATCTTGCCAGAAAAGGTCATGGATTGTTAGTAGTTCACAAGTAGTAAATGCCATTATATCCAATGGCACGATGTGGATTTCGCAGGCTCCACTCTTTCCGCCATGAATTGCAGATATTTCTGTCATGGATCGAGTTGAAAAATGTTCAACTTAAGAAGAAAAGCTCTTTCCTTTCGTAAGGTAACCAATCAAAAAAGAGGGCAGGTAAAACTGAACTGGAGGTAAACACAGGGCTGAACAGCAGGATATTTTTGCTTGCTTTTGCCATATAAATAATACACTGCTTAAAGATGAATATTAATTCACTGGCATGTGTGCCATCCAGTACACATTGCTTAAAAAACCTTGAGGAATAGGCGATGAGTACCCCTAACCACTGTAGCTTAGTGAGTACTTGTGCTAATGTTTAGGCGGCCTGATTAGGAAGAATTAAACCTGCTGGAAACACAATAATTGCTAGTCTCTTCAGTCTGTCCATTCGGTATGATGTGTGATGGGGGTTAAGACTCCTGCACATAACACCACCCATGAAGATCCACTTCTTCTCTGCTTTGCAAAATTTGTCACAGACACAGAATACGCTCCACCATCTGAACACAGACCTACACTTCCTTTGGGAAAACTTGAAACAAAAAAAAAAAAACTTTTCAGGTCATTTGTACAGAGCCCCATGGTGACACGGTGCTCTAATCAGACATAAATCAATATATTGAGACCAAGAGTAAAGTTTCTCAGGGCTACAAATTAATATATTGAAGCCACAAATTCATATATTGAGGTCACGGGTTAAGCTTCTTGTGGCCACAAAGTAATATATTGTGGCCAAACGGCCACGAGAACTTTAATTTGTGGACTTCAGAAACTTAATTTGTGGTTCCAATGTATAGATTTGTGGCCACACCTTATTAAAAAACAATCACCATGTCACTTTATGGGCTCTGTACATTACAGTTTGGTGTTTGGTGAGGATCTTGCAAGAAAGTCTTATTCCAGTGTGTTTTCAGATGCTGGTTCAGCGTCATGTCATCTTTGCTGTTCTTGGTCTTCATTTATTCTTTGACACTTTAAAGCAGGGGTGGAGAACTCCAGTCCTGGAGGGCCGGATTCCTGCACAGTTTGCTGATTTTCCTGCTTAAGCACACCTGATTCAACTCATCAGCTCACTGCCAGTTTTATTTGGTGCGCTAGAGCAGGGAAATCACTAAACTGTGCTGGACTCCAGTCCTCAGTTCCCCACCCATGCCTTAAAGTGATAGTTTGGTGAAAATGTACACAGTTTTCCCGCTTACCCCAAGGGTGGTCAGTCAGACAAGGTTGCTCCTATATTTTTACACTGGAGCTTTGAGGTTAAAGTATGTTGCATAGCTAAAAACAGTATTAGCAGCCGTCTCAAAGCTTGAATTTTGGCTGTAAATTTGTCCAGTTTTATAGATAACAGCCTGTCATACAGTGTTGAACACACCACCTTTTTTAAATCTCTTTTGATAAGACCTTAGGACCCTATAAATCATTTTTCCAACACTAAAGACATCTACTAACACAATACCAGAGCACTGCAGCAGGATTTATGTATTTATTTATTTATTTATTTGTTCATAGCATGATTTCATAATATTTTATGCAATGTCTTAGTCCTGATTCAGCATCACATTTTAGCACTAATATTATCATGCTTTTTTCCAAGCTATACTGTGAGGTCATCTGTTGTCAGGGGGTAACTGTCCCTGTTTGATTTGTATTAAGCCGTTATTGCTATTGCTTGTATCGGTAATTGTACATTTAAAAAAATGTATGAAATACGTCCATACGACTATTAAAAATACATCTTCATTTTTATGGCAAGAAGTTAAGTCGATGTGAAGGAGTAATAAATAGTTTGCAAATGTTATTCCAGTTCATTCGTATCAAAAGAAAATTACCATATAATTATATTTTGTACATACACACGTACACACACACTCACATATATATACATACATATATAAAACAAGGCAGTGAGAGTCACTTTACAGGAGAAGGCAAAGTCATTCTTAACAAAGTTAATGAAAAGATTTTTTCGACGTAATTTTGCAGCATTTCTATTAATCATATTAAATCAATTAATCATAAAACTCTTACACATGTAAAGCACAGTTGATGTGTTCAAACGATGTAGAAAAATAAAAATTGGAAAAAATTGGAGATATATGGTTTTCTTTGAATAGCGATGATATTTTGATAAGTGTAAAATAGAGGAAAATCTGAAAAAACTATCCATAACAATTGTACAATGTATTCATAACCATAACCATTTCTTGTAATAACTTTCTGTGAGGGAGCTTTTAGTGGCCAGGCATCTGGTTCCTATCACCACCACGAGTCTCTTGGCAAGTCGTTACAGAACAGAGCATTTTACATCAAACTACTCTGAATGACTTACATCTTAATTTATTCATTATACAGACATTTAAAAAAAAACATCTGTGTTATTCCCCTTTAATGGGGGGCACAGAATAAAGACATCATTTTATGCAAAGTGAAGTGCCCTATTAGAGGATGGCTAACACATTAAACAATTGTGAGGTTATAGCCTGCCCTGCGATGGACTGGCGACCTGTCCAGGGTGTATCCTGCCTTCCGCCCAATGACAGCTGGGATAGGCTCCAGCACCCCACCGCGACCCAGAAGGATAAGCGGTTTAGATGATGGATGGATGGATGGATGGATGGATGGATGGATGGTTATAGCCTATCAGGCTTCACTGTGAAGGAGTTGGAATCTTTTTCAACCACTAGAGGTCACTAGCTGTATGTTGTATCTAAGCTCCGTTTTAGGTGTCACCTACTTTCTTGCTCAAGCTAGTAGCTTTCTTTAGCAGGCTAAATCCAAATGTTTACAATGGCCTAGACCTTTATCACCACCACATTCAGGCCATTCTGTGTGGTCAATCTGAAGACAAGACCTAAGCTTGTAGCACACAATAAGCCTTAAAGAGAATAAGATACAGTGAATTACAGACCAGAACCAGCTAAAACACAGGCACATATGTTCTAGGCCTATTTGTAGGCCTGTTTTATTGTTTTAAGCAACACAGAGCTCTTTTCTGTCACATTACCCTGCTATTTAATTTGTTGTAAGCTGAAGGTCCTTCAAAGTCATAGATCAAACTTTAAATGCCAGTGCCAGCAGTTGGTAACCTGATGACATATGCATGCAGATGGATTGTATTCAGTAAATATTTGAATAGAAAACTCTCATGTAGTGGCTCAAGAATGGGTATGAATTCTAAGGTTGTGCAAAATTGTATGCAATAAAAAACTTTATATGCAAGTTTAAAGCATCAGAGTGTTGCAGTAACATGAAGCTCTGTCATTATCCATAGAGGACTTTGGAACAGCGTTCCTGACGGGCCCTACACTTGTACATTCCAGATGGGTTTGAACATATGTATACACTGCAAATGCTTTACATAGCAGGTATTAGCCTAAATACGTACTTAATGAATTAATGAATTGGGAATTATAATGGCCTCGTTTCCTATGGAGCACCATAACACTATACGTGCATTGCCAGGCAAAGTAGCGCAGTGTTTCTATAGCTTTGATTTCAGTAAGTTGGCTTTGAACTTATGCTTAATGCTTAAGGTTTAGTCATCACATAGAGACATAATCTAAAACATCTGGAGAGG